GGCAAGAAACATAGTTTCCAATCATGGTTGTACTGTACAGGTGAAGTACCTGTGGCTTTTTACAGTGTTCCAACATTTTTCATCAAGACATTTTAACAGCTTCTTGCCATGCAGAGTGCAAACAGCACAGCAGCATCTCAGCACCGAAGAAAATCACTCTGAGTTGACAAAAAACATGACAGAAATACTTTTTTTCCTTTACCCTGCTGCCAACATGACACTTCGGGTGCGCTATAGGGCAAAAACCCCTATGTGAACACAAACCTCAGCAACCCATCTCCAAAAACCACTTTTCAAGCAGAGCTTTACTGTGCATTGTGGTGTGGATGAGCAGTACCTCCTCCCATGTTTTTCCTTCTCCCTTTACACCAGATCACAGCCACCATGAAAAGGCAGCCAAAAATACAAGGTTTTAAAGACTTCCCAACAGGTACACCCACATCAATAATAAATATCAGGCCAAAAGGAATTAGGAGGAGTGACATTATTACTATTACTTTAAATAGCACCAAGGACATCTCATTGCTGAATAATTCCCAAAGCAATGCTAACAAAGCTATTCACCCCATGCATTTGCATGTAGCACCTATAGTTTGCATATAACTGTCATTTGGATGTATGGTATTTATTCCATCCCTAGTTTTCAAGATGAGAAACTGAGACATCTTTATGCATGAAGAACACCAGCAAATCACTCTGACAAACTGGCAGGAAACTCAGTTCTTGAAATAAATCCAAGTGTTTCCTGGCTGTTAACTTTCAGACAATGTCTGAAACAATAAAATGGTACAGAAATGTAGCTGGTTAGACTGACAGGAGACTGACTGGTAGGTTTGTGCAAAAAGACTCACTTTTCATAGTGACACAGCTAAAAAAAAAATAAATTACTTTTACAGAGCATATTAGCACTTTATACAGTTGGTTTCCTGAGAGAACTCACCACATAGCACAGCCAAGGAAGGCTCAAGGAAGGCTCAATCTCCTCTGCTTTCTGTTATTACCCAGTAACAAGCTATAGAATCAATATTTTAGAATCAATATTTTAGAATACTGTGGGATCCATAAAGTTCTGTGAGATAATGACTGAGCTCATTGCTTTTGATACAAATCTATGTGATTTGAAGAAAATCACATTTCTTCAGATTTGGAGAAAAAAATGTTCGATACCTTAATGAAGGAACAGGAAAGAATAACACTGGTAGAGAAAGGGTTCTGTACCTTGATGCTCTTTTACTTCAGAGCCTGTGTGCCACAGACAGCATTCAATTAAACAGTCTCAGCAGTAAACAATGACAATACACAGAACACTACACAACATCACTCCTTTGGCTCCAAGTAATTCCAGTTTTCGACTGAACAGTTGTTATGCAAAAATCTCCCAACACCTGTGGCTGAAAACAAATAACCTTCAGGTCCTACAGCTGAAGAGGCAGGTAAAAAATGGGCAAAGGAAATTTGGATTGCACATCCCTTAACGGAGCTTTTGTCTCTTGTGCAGTTTGAAAACAGCATGGGTACAATTTTGGTATCCACCTGAAAAACACTGGGCTGGGAGAGCAGCTGGACAAGAGTCACTTGCTTGTCCAAGGTAAGCTCTGTGTCTGAAAAGGCAGCAATTTCCAACCTCTCCAAACAAAATAATTTAAAACAAAAGCAAACACAAGAATTAGTTTTTCTGAAACGTTTTCCTGGTGCAGCACACCCAAGATACAGTTGTGTTCTCGTGGGGATGCCAATAACAGTAGTAATAACAAAGTCATGCTGAGAGATGATGAGGTACCATAGCAAGGGTTGCAGGGAAAGTCACCCTCCTGTCTCAAAGGAGTGCTCTGGGAAGATCATCTTGTAGAGAACTTTCTATTGCCTGATACAGCCAAAGCCCTTCCAGTGGTTATATTTTTCCTTCCTGAAGCAGAATACTATTTAAGATAATTTCTAAGTAAGAACAACCATCCACTGGAACAACCTCCCCAGGGATGTGGTGGAGTCCCTGTCACTGGAGACTGTAAAGATGCAATTGGACAGGGTGCTGGATAATGATGATTCCATGAATCTGTAACCTCATCCAAGCTCCCTCTCCCCAAAAAAGGCTGGACCAGATCATCTTTTGAGGTGCCTTCCAATTCTATGATTTTGAGGATACTGAGAGACTAATGAGGGATATTTCTAAGTGACCACCAACACGCAAGCACTCACTGTGTGATCATTCCTTCTAAAATCAGCTGGAATCGATCCCTGTCAGAAAGGCAAGATCCCACCTGCCTGGGTGGGAACATGAAGGCCAGGTAGTGTGGGTGGCAGGCCAGGCCCCACAAAAGTACAGAAGAGTACAATGGACCACATCAGGGTAAAGAGGCTTTTTAAGGCCACAGAGGTCTCTAGTGGTCCATTACCTCCATGTGCAATTCTTATCAAACAGGAAATGATGTGTTAAAATGATGCAGGTTGATTCAGTGCAGCATCAGTGTTACTGTCAGTAGTATTAACATGGAGCAGATGGATTCTGCCAAGGCAAAACCCCTCTTTTTTTTCCCAGTCAAAACCTTAATCACCATTTACGTATGTCTAAAGAAAACTTTGTTGTAGAAATTCTACATGCAGCACTGCAACCCTCCATCTGTGTGTACATATATATATATATATATGTATCTTTTTAGATGTTAGCCATCTTTTATTTACCACAACAGCTCAATCTAGGACTTCTCCATTTGCCTGCCTTCCCTTTTTTCCCACTCTTTCCAAAGTACCCTGCCAAAAGATAACATGCCTTTACCAATTAGGCACCAAACACAGGGGAAAAAAAAGAAGTTTCAAGTACATAAACAGCATATTTTGTAAATAAAACCTGGCTTCCTCTTGCCCACCAGGTTTAGTGTGAAAGGGAAGCATCTGTGGACAAGACAGCTGAGGAGAAACTTAATTAGCTCAAGCCAGCGGTGAAATAATCCAAGAAGTCTACTTCTTGGGATATTGGGAGTCTAAAAAATTACAGCATCTCGTGATATTGTGTGAAAAGTATCTGAGGAAGACAGAACAGGGTAGGGAATGAAAAATTCTCTTTCCCACACCACTAAAAGGTATTTTCTCTTTCTGATATGTATCCTTGTCCCATCAAATACAGGTCTCCCCCATGCAGACATTTTGTAGACTTTTTGACATTTACAGCAAAGTAGTTCTGCTCCTCTGACACACAAAATCTGTCACCAGAAACCCCTTTCTTACACATGTCCTGCAGCTTTACACAGAGCCTGGCATAGCAAGGCTCTGGACACTGCTATGGCACCAAAAAAAAACACTGGAGGTTAATTTTAATATCCAGACATTTATACTTCGGAAGAATTTGTTGCAGAGATCATAAGGCATCCTTTAGGGGTCAAGTAGTCCATGTTAATAGAGACTTTCAAAGCTGAAGTCATTCCTATTTGTATTTTTGCTAATACATGGAACATTTTCATAACTATGATAGGCACAGACAGGATTTTTACAACCATTAATCCATCTGTCAAACACAGCAGCTGCTTTATCCTCAGCAAGAATCTCCAGCAAGGTTCTGTGGCTCAGTCTGCTGCCCCAAAGGACCTTGTTCTTCAGCTGGAAGGACAGGTTTGCCTTTCAGGATTCCAGGCAGCAACATATTTTATATATTATATATATATTTTTTTTTTAGTTTATTCCTTTTTGCTATCAGCTCTTTTTTCTTTTTTTTTTCCTGTGGGAACAGTACTATCTTCTTGACATGCAAAAGTCCAGACTGCACATCAATGTATGGAGAATGGAATGAGAGTGAAGTGTCAGCAAAGATGTCCTTGACCCAACCCACTATTTGTATCCCCAACAGTCATGCAAACCTTGCCCGTTATACACTGGGGCACACTGACTCCATGTGGCAGCACACAGAAAATGCTTCAGACATTCCCTTTTCCTGCATGTCACACAACCCTGTGTGTGGCCATGGATTTTGGAAACACTTCTGGAAACAGAAGGAATCGAATCCATACGTTATTTCCGTGAGAAAAGGCAACATGGGGATGAAAAAAAATCAATGAATCGTATTGGCAACAATGTTTTTCACACAAATATTCACCAGGAACACACAGTAAAGTACAAAGGCTATATATATATATATGTATATGTATATATATATAAAAAGAATGCTTTCTCAAATGTTTATTACACGACGAAATAAGTCGAATTGAAAAAAATTCACATCCTGAACTTGATCAAAGGGGACTGATTGCTCTTCAGGCCTATTAGCTAAAAGCAAGATTGAAAGAGCAGGTTTGAAAAATTACATAAAACTGTATCACATTCTTTTTTTTTTTTTTCAGTTTGTAATTGGTTTGATTCAAACTTGACTAGAAGACCCTAAAAGTTGCTTTAGCGTCAGACCAGCTATCTGATTCAAGTAGCACTAACACTGTGTGATGGGTACAGGGTTTTTCCCATGACTAAAATGGAAATACTTTGTAAAATCGGTATATTTTCTTCCACACCACACTCATGCCCACCCCAAAGCCCCAAATTCCACCTAGTTTACCAGTGTTGTTAACATACAAGACCTAAAGAAAATAAGAAACAAAGACAATTATTGTTTTGCCCATTTGTGTCTTCACGTTTCAGTCTCTACCAGCTGACCACAAGTACATTCCACTCACTGTGAACAAGGTCTTCACATTTCACTTCCAGACTGCAGAGAAGTGACATGGTATGGCTGAAAGGGTTTTGTACATCACAAGTGCCGTAACATTTAGGATTTCCCTGCTTTGGTTAAGGTGTATGATGATTTGACACACCTGTCAAATCTCAATCTTACTGCACAAGTGCAAGGGGATGCTGAATTTGTGGTGAGATTTTTTTTTCCTTTTTTGTTTTGTTAAGACAGTGCAAGGTCTAGAGACAGCATGAGAATCTCAGATCAGGGTGCTGCAGGGTGCTACGCCAATTTTACCTCTCACCTCAGTGTATAAACATTTTCCCGTCTCTGTTTGGTATCCAGCAAACAATCCTATTAGAAATTTTCCAATGTTTTGTTTTGTTTTGTTTTTTTTCTTGTCTCTGAGTACAGTCCATTTCAAAACTTCCCAAAGTTATAAATTAGTAGCTGTACATCTGCTGCTGCTGCTCTGTCTGAACCGGCTGCTGCCCTGGCTGCTGTTGCGTCGCCGGCGCCTGGGGCTGCAGGACATCAGTCTGAGGCACTGACCTCCAGGTCAGGGGGTGCTGTTCCGAAATCTGGTTCCCCAGGGGAGCAATGGAGTTCACCAGGGTGGTCAGGTTTATAAAATGGGCCACGGACTGGGGGTTGGTCGCCTCTGGCTGGGGCTGGATCTGGACGTCGTTCTGGCGGTTGTGCAGCATCGCGGAGCCGCTGACGGTGTCGAAGGTGACGGTGAGGATGGAGTTGTCCAGCTGCAGCTGGCGCTCCGGGGCAGTCAGGTGGCCCACGGCCACTGGCTGGAGGTTTGTGAACTGGGTCCCAGCTGCTGTTGTGATGGGGGTGACGGTGATGTTTGTGAGCCCCACAGAGCTGGAAGGGGCCGTGACGTTTGGGTCGCCGAGGGTCACCACCACCTGAGGGGAAACACAAAGGTGACCTCAACCCATCTGAAGGGAGTTCCAAAATGCAGCAGCACAAGAGAGGAGTGAAAGTCTCTAAGGAAGTCCCCCGAAGGCTCGGGCACGAGGGATTGGGATTTTCACAAAGTAAGAACAGAAAGATTCTGACTGCAATACTCAAATCTGCTGCCTTAAAAATAAAGGACAGTAACTAATACCACAGAAACTAATTTGAAGGAACTGTGACCTGAAAAGTGACAAAAGGACTTTTCTCTTTTCTTCCTGGACTCTTGTTGAAGAAAAAGAGAAATTTAATCTAATGTAAATATATTATTTCATTGTAAAAAAAAAAGACAGTTAAGTTGTTACCTATATATATATATATGTATGTATGTAAATAAACCTTGTAAGTATTTTCCCCTTCCCCCAATGCTGAGTAGTTGTGTTTTGCCTGAAAACCCTCTCACACTGAAGCAAATTGTGGGAGAGGGGCTTGAACTTAGAAATTGGATTTTTGAGGGTCTCAAACTGCAACACAACCTTAGACCTTGCACCTGACTATCAAATATCGTCAAGGAAGACCACCTGATGGGCTCACATGTTGCTACTGCTAGCAGAAGAAGTCACACACAGAGGGGAACATAGAAAACTTGGAATATAACAACTTCCACGTGCAGAAAACTTGGAATATAACAACTTCCACATATAGCAGTACGATGGTAATGGGAGAGGGGGATAGGCAACATTCAAAACAACCAGCCACATTAAGTTTCCTGCTTTTAATCTCATTTTTTAATCAGCCAGCTAGTGGTACCTGGCAAACAAGGAGATGGTAACACCAAAGGAAATGAAAACAAACATAAGGAGCTTACTGGTCCAACTCCTTGTTTTTTTAACATCTCTATCCATCTTTGTATTACCACTGTTTATCAAATCAGCTCCAGATGTTCCAATCACGCTTTTGTGTTTGCAATTAGCCAAAAACAAAGGGTTATCCCTCTAAGCAATGCCTGCAACTCAGCACCCTGCTCCTGGAGCTCACCTGCTGGATGCTCTGTACGGCTGAATTAGTCTCATCTCCAACATTCCCTGTGAATTCACCTTCCTTCTCTGTGTATTCACTGAAGGCAGGGTCCTCAGGCACTTGAGCTTCCTCCTCCTCACCCGACTTTTGTTTTCGTTTCTGGCCACGTTTAGGAGCTTTTATGTGCTGTTTCCCTTCTGGTAATTCGCCCTGTTCCAAGGCTAATTCCGGCTGGAGCAACACAATTCCAAACAAAACATCAAGTCCTTTTGCTTAATGAAGTTCCAAGTGAGAGCCTATCACCTGAAGCTGTTTTACTGTCAGTTCTCAAGCGAAGAAATAAACTTTAGAAAAACCTGATTTTGGGGAATGAGACTTCACCCTGTAATTATTTCTGTTTTACCAGCACCCTCGTTACACAACCAAACAGATCAAGAACCTGCAGCTGCTTGGACACGTTACCCTGGGGCTGGCTCTGAAAAAGCACATTCCTCACCCACAGCCTGTGCTCAGCTATGTTATGGTACCAAAAATGTCCCCACCTCACCCTCCAGTGGGCCTGGAACTTACCTGAACAATCCCAATCGAAGAGGCATCAATGGTAGTTGTCTCTGGCAGCTGCTCTAAATCATCAATCCTCACTGAAAGGATCTGTAGACAAAGAGGTATCAGCTGGTGAGCTGCAGTCAAACAATACAGCATCTCCCTAATAAATCCTGTCACAAAGCCAAAATGATGTAATCTAACATTTTACATGTATCATTTAATATGAAGGAGTTAACAATGGCTTTTTTCTAAATAACCTTCTGGCATAAAGTCTTCTCATACTCACTGAAAACCAGCAAAGTTTAAAGACACCAATAGAAGAATATGTTTATTTTCACATTCTAGACAGAACACAACCCACTGGGAAGTGATGAATTATATAGAAAACAATGTGTTTGAAAAAAAATACTGTGTCCTACTTCATTATTTTAAGCTGAATCTCTACTACATCTCAGCTCATCAAAGAATAGAGCATTTTTAATCCCCAAATCAATAACTAAGAGCACTTTGTTGACTTCCTTCACAATCATCATGATAAAACAGCAAAGCAACAATAATGATAAACTGGTAGTCAAAAAAAAAAAGCCTCAAAGGGAACGGACAAGCCTCAGTCAAACCTAAACAAGGAATGCTGAGGAGAAACACAGCAGCTATTCAGAAAATTAGAACATAGAAAAAACCCCATTGGGGTCAGACAAAACATCCCTCTAATCCAGATTCTCTCCAGTCAGCATTCATCTTTAATGCTGAGAATAATTTTGTATCATCAGCAGATGCCGCCACCACCTCTCTATTCACCACTTCTTTCAGATCACTTCTGAACACAGGGAACACAATGGGGAAAAAAGAATCCATTACACTCACTAATTGATGAAGACAAAACATGAAAAACCACACATTTAAGCTGAGGCAGAGAAAGAGAAGTGGTTTCAATAAGCAGAAGAACTTCATTTTTAGGGACTGGCAATCAGATCTGTTTACTACTAAAACATGTAACGCAGTTAAATGGCTGATTCAGTTAACTGCATGTTTCACAGACACTACCTAAAACTGGCTCCAAAAAAAGCAGGGAAAAACAGGAAGGGGAAAAAAAGTAATTCAAGTCGCTGAAGGCCATAAACTTCCCTAAAAAAAACAAACCCCCAGACCAAACCACCCCACAGTCCAAACTAACTCACTTCTGGATGTTTACGCCTCATGTGCCGACTCATGGAGGCTCTGGTAGAAACCTTTGTCCCACACAGTTGACAGCTCTGGGCTTCCACCTTATCATGAGTGAGCTGGATGTGCTTCTGCAGCATGTAATCAGTGACATACTTCTTATCACACACTGAACATGTCCACTGTTTTCCTACTGGTGGCAGATGGAAGGAAACCCAACAGATGAGTATCGTATTGTCAACACCTCAACAAGAGGAACAATTTTTTGTGTCTGGTAACAGGATATGCAACACCAGTTCCAAGACTGGCAAGACTAAAGCAAGCCTAAGAACAGAATTAAGATGTTGTTGGATACTGTTTTTTAGAGGGTTTACCTGTATGAATCAGCTTGTGAGTCTCCATTGTGTTTCTCTCACTAAACGTCTTCCCACAGAGCTCACACATGAAATCTTTGATTCCTGCAGGAAGAGCACACTTAGCATCTGTCAAAGGAGCCTAAGGCATCTGGGACAATCCAGAGTCTCACATTACTAACATTAAAAAAACATAAAAACCACAGTCAAACCAGTAGAAGAAGCCCAGCTTCACCACCTACTTTCATCTAAGCCGTGGCACCATATCCGGCAGAAAATAAATCCAAGGGAAACCGATGTGGGAGGTAAAATGTTGGGAAATGAGAACCTGAAGACTAACTTAAAACAAAGCCAACGCTCTGGACCTATCCTAGACCAAAACAACCACTTTCAAAAAAAAAACAAAGCTTGAAACCAACTAAGCTGTATCTCTCCAGTTGTAGAACAGGTGATCTCAGCTGAGAAGAGGACAAAATCTGACTTTTCAAAAGGCAGAAAATACGGATTTTATTACTTTTCCTCATACTCTCTGACTGTTCTAGGTAAGAGTTCTCTACTGGGAAGCATTTAACCGATTAAGTGCCACTTTTAGAGCCCTCACCTGTGTGTCTTTTGTAATGCTTCAGCATATTGACCTTCTGTGCAAATTTTCGGTGGCATTCCTTGCACTCATATTCCTTAATCCCTTTGTGAAGTTTCATGTGGTGACGAAGTGCATGTTTTGTCTTCATTCCTGTGAGACAAAAGGTGCAGCAAGACAGTTACTCCCCTGCTCCAACCTTCAGAGAACTCAGGATGATCATGTTGTTACCCAAGAGCTCTAAGCTTATATTTGCCACGAGTCCACAACTGCATATTTTTAATTGTTTATGTAGCAATGCACATTATCATTATTATTTTAATTCCAGGAAAAAGCTCTGGAAAACATCTGAGTAACCACTGAGGAAGAAGCAAAACAGCAGGGACAAGCAAAGACAAAGCATCATTAGAGGTGTCAGACTTACTACTGCCTGCCACTAAAATACCAGTTCAGATTTGTCCAAGTTATAACACAAACAATTAAAAAAGTCAAAGCAACTTTGACATTTAAGGCTCTTACAGAGAGAAATTATTCTATTTCTTAAGCCTGAAAACAAGCATAGAATTAAAAAAAAAAAAATCAACTTGCATTCACTTTTGTGCTGCAAATGCATTAGAACCTAGTCAGGCATGTTATAAAAATCAGTGTTTTCTTACAGGCCATAAAACAAAACTATAAAATTGGGGGTAGTTTATGTAACCCTAAGGCTCCTGATTCATACAGTTACTACCTCTCAAAAATGCAGGATTTACAGCACTCCCAGACCTTCCCAAATACTCTAAGAATGGAAGAAGTCTTAATTCAGATATTCACCTGCTATTCAGTATCACAATTAATGGAAAACAAGGCATCAGACATACCTTTGCCACACTCTGCACACAAGTATTCTCGGATATTATCATGGACTCGCATATGTTCTTTTAACATGTCTTTCCTAGCAAATGATTTGCCACATTGCTCACAAGCATGACTTTTTACACCTTAAAAATAAATTTAAAAGACAACATAAACAAAAAAAAAATGTTAATGAAAAATGTGCATCTCCTAAAAACTGACTAAAGTGGTGACTTAAAGAGGGCAACAGCCCCCGTGTGCTGTCAACCACACCTTTCATGCATATTGTAGCCCAAACTAAATTAGCAGACTTTGGAGAGAGAGGAAAGCTGTTTTTTCGTGAGATCTGTAAAAAAAAAGAGGTAAAGCCTGAGGTAGGAAAATACTGAGTAGCATGAAATAGTAATGAGCTGTTGAAAATGATTTTGCAGTAGCAGTTTTCAGCCTGTGTAATGGCAAGAAGGTGGCATGGATAAGAATCTGGGGAAGTACAGAACACAGAATTAGGTGAATCCTGCAACATCATATTATCTAGGAATTTGGATTGTGTGCCCAGATCAAATTTCATTAATATTACCTGCTTTAGAAAACCAGTCTACCCTAAAAGCAAAAATATTACATTTATCTGATTGTATCTTACAGTAAGAACCCATAACTTTATTCCTCCAGCCAAAAAAAAAAAACCAAACAAACAAAAGGCAGGCACTGACAATAGAAATTTCTTTTTTGTGTTGATAATTATAAAGAAACACAACATTTTTACCTGTATGTATAAGCTTATGTCTTTCCAGATTTCCTATACTGTTAAAAATCCTTCCACAGATTTCACATGGGTGGATGTATCTGAAACCAAAGAGACCAAAAACTGCGATTCTTTTCTTGAGACAGAAGTGATTTTCAGGCATCTCTGTCAGTAACTGTATTCATTTGCTAATACTAATTATTATAAAAGTTCCCTGAAGCTTAATTTTTTTAAAATGAACCTTAAGAAACCTGTAAGTTGACTGCAAGCTTGGAGCAGCCTGGCATTGCTATTAACTCAAAAAATAGTTTAAAAAAAAAAATTATTAAAATCATTGATTTATAATTTGCAAAGCCCAAACTGCGAGGCTGTTGACTAATCATCTGTGTGAAGTCAATCATCAGTGATATTTACCTCAAGCTTTTAATAAACATTTTAACACCCATTATACTGTTTCAGATATTTTAGTACAGCTCAATTACACAGAATCACAGAATATGCTGAGCTGGAAGGGACCCACAAGGATTATCGAGTCCAACCCTTAGCCCTGCACAGGAGCATCCCCAGAGTCACACCATGTGCCCCAGAGGATCATCCAAACCCTCCTGGAGCTCTGGCAGCCTTGGTGCTGTGCCCACTGCCCTGGGGAGCCTGTTCAGTGCCCAACCACCCTCTGGGAGAAGAACCTTTCCCTGAGATCCAACCTGACCCTCCCCTGACACAACTTCAGGCCATTCCCTCGGGTCACTGGTTCTCTAAAAGCACCAGGGGGCAGAGCCACTGTCACTCCAAGAAGATGGTTCCTCTTATCAGTGCCACATGTCTTACTTCTGCACCTTGGGGTCAGGCAGGTTCTCCCGGTGGATGACCATGTGCGCGTGGTACGTCGCCTTCAGGGCGAAGCGCCGGTTGCAGATGCTGCAGCCGTAGCCCTTCTCCTTGTGCACGTCCATGATGTGCTTCAGGTACTCCTTCCCTCTGCCAAAAGTCAGCTGGGGAATGAACCAATAGTGAATGAAAGGGGGAAAAAGTCCTCAGGCACAGCAACGAGCTGGGAGTGCATTGCCAGGATCTCGAGGTGGCGCGAGTTGATGTGAATACCCTGTGTATCACTTCAATACCCTGTGTATCATTTCAATACCCTGTGTATCACTTAAATACCCTGTGTATCATTTCAATACCCTGTGTATCACTTCAATACCCTGTGTATAACTTAAATACCTTGTGTATCACTTAAATATCCTGTGTATCATTTCAATACCCTGTGTATCACTTCAATACCCTGTGTATCACTTCAATACCCTGTGTATCATTTCAATACCCTGTGTATCATTTCAATACCCTGTGTATCATTTCAATACCCTGTGTATCACTTCAATACCCTGTGTATAATTTCAATACCCTGTGTATCATTTCAATACCCTGTNCCCTGTGTATCATTTCAATACCCTGTGTATCACTTCAATACCCTGTGTATAATTTCAATACCCTGTGTATCATTTCAATACCCTGTGTATCACTTAAATATCCTGTGTATCACTTAAATATCCTGTGTATCATTTCAATACCCTGTGTATCACTTCAATACCCTGTGTATAACTTAAATACCCTGTGTATCACTTAAATATCCCGTGTATCACTTAAATATCCTGTGTATCATTTCAATACCCTGTGTATCACTTAAATATCCTGTGTATCACTTCAATACCCTGTGTATCACTTCAATACCCTGTGTATCACTTCAATACCCTGTGTATCACTTCAATATCCTGTGTATCACTTCAATACCCTGTGAATCACTACATGAAAAACCCATGAAAGCTGGATTTAGGCCTGAACTCCTTTGGCCATTACAAGGACGCTGCTACAGGACATCAGTTTGTTTGGAAAACCTGCTTGAGATGGTGTCTCCACTTCTTGCACTGCACAAGAAGAGGACCCCAAATTATCCGTGCACTGAGGAACAGCCTTGAAGAGAGCCATGTTTAACCTCCAGCAGCTGTCAAAGTGAGGGTGCCACAGGTGGAAGAAATGTCTGCTGGGCTCTAAGGGCATGGCGAGCTCTAGTCTGCACAGTCAGCTTTGGCACTGGCTTCAGAAGAGTTGGAATTTCTAGGCATTGCAGGGCAGTGACTCCAGCTCAGCTCCTGGAAGTGCTAAAGCAGTGCCAGACAGCAGCTCCACTACTGAGCTCCCTGGGCTAAGTAACCCTGCATATCCAAAATGACCCAGCATGTCCAGACATGCTCCAGAACATCAGGGCAAAGTGCCATAATGACATGATCTTTTGCTCCAACTTTGGAATTAGTCAGGGTATTTCTGACAGCACTGCACAGCTTGGTGAAGGTGTACTTTGGGATGAGAGAAAACACAGAGAGATTTTGAAGAGCTCAGAAGAGGGATTTCACCAAGACTCATTTGTATGTTGTTCTCCCTTTGGCTTCAATTTCCCAGAAGAGCCTCCCCATCTCCTCACAGCAAATCTCACTTTCCACAGCTGCTCCCTTACACAACTCTTTATTTCACAAACACCTGCAAAAGTACTAAAAACACCCCAGCTTCAAAAAAGAGCTTTCTGATCTAAATAGCCCAATTGCCCTCACTTGGAAGCACACAATTTTATGTAGTTTATGTACCCATGAAGTGTCAGACAGGAAAATTAGCACACTGAAAGCAGCCATGTGATTAACTGCTGTGATACCACACCTTCTGATGTTTACTGGCATAAGCTTCAAATCAGTTTTCACTTTATACCAGTTCACAGATAAGAACAGAAAACTCAAGGATTATTATCTCCAGGTTATAAAATGAAGATAAGGTGAGAACTTTCACCACATTAAGTGGGGACTGTGAAATAAGCTCTGATTTCCAGGGGTCAAGTCAGTGGCTTAACCACCAAAACTCCCCTGTCCCTATGTCAGTTTGGCCAATTTACTGAGTAAACTACATTCCAGCAGTACTCCCAACACCATCCTGTTAGTCACAGAGCAGCCCAAGAATAAGCAGCCACGCTGAACATAAGCAGCAGTCTTAATCCTCCAAACTGGATATCCACCAGAGGACCATCTGATCTCAGCAAAATCAATTTGTGGACTGTATCATTCAGAAATGCTGTAATGATTTTAGTTGGCACGTAATCAAAAGGTGGTATAAGATCTGAATGTTCCTTATTGATTTGAATGCTCCTTTAGTGATTCTTCCTCCAGTTTTGCTTGTTTCCTTCCACAGGTAAGCAAATATATCTGTATTTCTCTTTGTAAGTGTTTAGCATTCACCTTACAGAACACCACCTAAAGTCTTATGGAATAACATCACAGATTAGAGGTAACAAGCACTGCAGACCAGTGGACTGGCCTTCTCTTTGAAAACCCATAATGTTATTTAAAATTCTGAATGATTTACAGACATTGCCACTCTCCCATCCCCATCCCAAAACAAGTTAATTTGAAAGTATTTAAAGCTACCTGGCACCTTTTGCAGCTATACTTGTGAGGCTCAGAATCTGCACTTTCATCAGAGTTGTCATCATTTTCCTCTGATGAGATTCCAATTTTACCAATGAATGCTTCTCTCTGGTGATCATCCATGAGGGCTATGTCCTGTGCAGAGTGGGAAAGAACATTTTGTTTTAATAGGCTGAACTTATTCTTCAAAAGGTAAAGACCTGTTCACCTTTTGTTGCCATGCAGACTGCCTTGCATTAACAATTGCTGTAATATTATTTATTTAAAATATCCTCCCGCTTCATTCAATCCAGGTCAACAAAGTTCCTCTGTCCATGACTACACAACGAATAACTTAATTAATTTTTTTATTCGAACAAATAGTATTAATTTTTTGTGTGTATAAAGGGAACTTTAATGTAAAGAGACTCGACTGGTACAGCATTACATCTATAAAAGGATCTTTATGACAACCACTGAGTGATACAATTCCCCTTCAATTCAATCCCTTACAATTCAGTGATAACCCAGTTATGTCAGAACAATCTGCCTCTTCTAATTAAATATTAACACAATACCTTAAAATGGACATGAATATGATCTCTCAAGACGTCCACCCTGAAAAATTTACGTCCACAGATTTCACAAGTGTACTTCTTGTCTCCATGTGTTAGAAGGTGTTTGTTCATGTTGCTCCTACATGAAAATACCTAAAAGCAAAGAAGGCAGGAAGGGATGAAGGGGTTTTGGATGATGTCCAGCAGTTCTTTGTAATTTATCCAATGAAGAGCACAGAATATATTTACTGTCTTTTTGATTCATTCTGGCCAGAAACATGTAGGATCTCCTGTTAGCCAGCCAGCAGGCTACCTTAGAAACTGCTGGCATGGCAAAATCCAGGGGCAAAGCTCCAAGGAACTGACTGAAACTGGCCATTCATCAGAGACGGACTTCCAAAAAAGCTGCAGCAGAACTACATAGGGTAGAATTAGAAATATTTAGAGTGTCTTTTGAATCATGAATGTTCCACCTGTCTACAAAAAGATATAGGCACAAAATCTACATTGATTGATATGTAACACATCCAAAGCATCAAAAACAGAGGTCTACACACCAGCTTAGGAATTGTTCATGTACATTTTGCACCAGGAATCATTAACCATTTATAAAATCACTAGTTATCACACTCTCTGTGATAACAGCAATTTAAGATCATGAGTGCTAAAACACCCAAATGCGACAATGCCATTACTATGCTATGAGTTCACTTTGATTCCTAGTGGAAAATGATTCCCAATGCACACAGTCAACTCCAGCTGTTTACATTCTGGCAGAAAAATTCCACTTTAAATAACCTAAGCCATGAGATTTCACTGACACACACAGGGGCCATATGTGACACTCCATGTTGTGCTGCATGTCCTGAAAAAAGGTCTCGTCTGAACTTTAGTTTTGTTCTTTTCTTTGTCCTAACAGCTCCCACCATCACAGTGGGCTTGGATACAATGGAGCTACGGCTGTTTAAAGAGCAATGTCTTGACTGGACTCCACAACCTCCCTGGGCAGGCTGTTCCAGTGCTCTGCCACCCTCAGTGGAAAGAAGTTCTTCCTCATGTTGAGGTGGAACTTCTTGTGTTTTAATTTACGGCCGTTGCTCCTCGTCCTATCACCGAAGAGAGTCTGGCACCATCCTCTGACACCCACCTTGGAGATATCTGTATGTATCGATGAAATCCCCCCTCAGCCTTCTCTTCTCTAGACTAAACTGTGGTATCCTTGGAGCTACAGTGCAGACCTGGCCCACACACACCCACCTTCCCACACACGGGGCATCCCGAGGGCTCCTTCTTGTAGCGAACCATGTTCTCCGTGCTGTGCTCAAAGTCTTCTCTTTTCACACGCCTCACCCCTTCACAGAACAGTCCCCATCAAAAAAACAAAACAAAAAAATAAACCATGGTTTTCCACTCCAATCTGCATGCCCTCTCAGGGGAGTACTGGGGAGAAGAGTGAAACACTGGGGAGGCCCTCGATGCAGGATTTAATTGATAACAAAAGGGTGATTTCTAAATTAAAACAGTGTCTTAAGAATATAAAAGCAGTCTCCCAAAGTGATGTGCTATGGCTTATTGGTTACTACACCAACTGTAAAGTGTCTGAAAACAGACATTTGTTGTCAACACCAGGAAACAGGCAGATCTAGTAGGCCTTGGTACTTCAATCAAACATTTTCACTACGAAGAGGGAGAGGAGGGAGAGTCTCTAAGAAGAGAGGCAACAATTCAGCATCAGCTTTAATGCCCAGTGAGGATTTCAGACCTCTTTCCCTGCTCCTTTTAAGAGGACAGAGGGCTCCAGCTCTTCTGTGACAGCTAAACATGAGACACTTGGCCATTGCCATTCAGCCCCTTGTCCTCTGGCTCTCCTCTGGTTCATGACAAAAGGTCTGAATCACAAAAAGAGCCAGTGACAATCAGCTATGCCCAAAACACAAAATTAGACAATCTGGCTGTTCGTTTTAAATCACCTTTGGTTTTAACAAACAAAGGCATTTTAATACATATTTAGCAATCTGTGAAGTTTTTCCAGTCTTTCAGTACCTATAACATCCTTAGATGCTTGAGATTCTGAACAGTAAACTCTCATAATCTCATTCTCATATATTCTCAAGTGTCTGAAAGATAACATCCCACAGCATCCCATTGATACTATATTTATATAGTAACCACTTCCAGTTGTACATGGCAAGTTAATTCTCTGCTTTCAGATTTTCGAGTTACCACACAATTTTTTAAAAAACTCAAACAGAATTCAAATCATAATTAAAATCAGTTAGTCTAAACTACTGCTTAACAAGCCAAGCAGCTTTCACATGACTGTTAGTAGCACTGGATTCAATCACATGAGGCTGAAAAAAAAGGTAGGTGCATCTCCTAGAAAGTTTTTCACACAATTAGACAACTCCCCTGCAGGATCCATGACTATTACTTTTAATAAATGTCACATTTTGCTGAAACTTGCTACTCTGGATCAGGTAACTGACAATAAAATAAAAAGGCAGGTACTATTCAGAAGAATCTAATGCACACAATCATTTCCCTAACTTTCTCACCTCTACTGCTGTTTGGGAGTAATAATTAGGTTGATCTGCAGTAAACTTACCTCCCAAGTGTCTTCTTTGATGGTCCAGCATGATATCCCTCCTGTAGAACATCTTATTGCAGATTTCACATGCAAACTTCTTATCCCCGTGCTTCTTCTTGTGTTTTGAAAGGTTGCTGTTTGTAGAAAAGAATCTGAAACACATCTCACACTGGAAAGTCTTGTCATCTGTAAGCAAGAGAAACCATGCAGAGCTCTTTACAGATGGACAGAGGCTTTGTATGCTTCTGAGGCAGGTAGTTCTTTTGTTCATCATTGCATGGGTTGAGGAGGGAAATGCAAAAGCATGTGTGTTTCTTTAAACTTATTTTTTTTCAAAGGTAATAAATATATATGATGCTAACCTGAAGGTGGAATCTAGCATTGTAACTTCCTCACATGGGAGATCTCCACTGTGGTCTAGCATATACTAAAATAAAGTTTTGGAGTGGATTCTGTTACAACTGATTGGAATATTTAGTGCTGGTACAATCACTAAACATAGAGCAACAGAGCACCAGAATATTTCTGCCAGCACTGGCTCCTGACACCAGCCAGTACAGAATACTCCAGAATAAAGTATAAAACCTCAAAAATATACCATCACACGACAATAGGCCTATAGGGAATTTGTTTTGTAGTCAGTATTTGAGACTGTTCTTGCAACACGAACACATGGTCCTGTAGAGGGACTCTGTCAGTGCTGCAACAATCCCAAAGAAGTTACAATTTGATGCCTTGAAGAATAGAGAAAACTTTGACCTTTTCAGTCAAAGGTTTGACTCGATGATCTTGGAGGTCTTTTCCAGCCTTAATGATTCTGTGATTCTATTCTGTGAAAACCTGCTGCTTGTATTGGTCAGCTCAGAGGGAAAATGAGCTGCTGTCCTTGAATAAACAGAATACTGAGGTTACTTGGCACTACCTTCCATTCTGCACGAGGCTGAGGTTTTATACAAGCTGCAGCCTCTGAAAGGAAATGAGAAACCCTGCTTTGAATGGTGCTCTAAGGGGCAGTTACCTGGGGGATTCTGGACTGCCAGTTATGGTGGGTCCACAACAGTAAACCAGGATGTCATTTTCTAAGCATAGGATCACCCAGCATAAATAATATGAGTAATCACAAGGGATGGCTATGGGAGAAAAGGTTCTAGTGACATTAAGAGACACTATTGCAAGTATAAAACATGAAAAAGCTGAATAAAACTGAGATTCCAAAAAACTAAAACTATCACTAGTACTGATCCCCTTTCCAGTTCCTCTGTTTCAGAGAAATGAGGTGGAACTTAGTTTCAGGAAAGAAAATCAAACAGAGATGGTGACAGGTTATCTGTGAACATACAAATGAAATACCAGTGAGGGTATTAGACAGGTGAGCAGGAGATACTAAACAAAGCAGTACCTAACTGCACATGTTGCTCTACAGATTATTGGTTACACTTTTCTTATCGAAAAACCTTTTTTTTTTTTTTGAGGGAAACAGGACAGTTTGTTTCTTGTGATGATGGTGATAAAAACCTAAATTCCTACTGCCCTTCTGTAGTTTCTGTGCTGAGATGGATTTGTGCACATCTCCCCAAAATGGAGTAGAGATGCCAGAGGAAGTGGAACAGTCATCCATTCTCACCTGTCCTGCAGTTATGGAATTCCAGTGCACTCTCTACCCGAAAGGCCTTTTCACACGTGGTGCATTTGTACCTGTACTCACTGTCAACCTGAGGATTGCAAACAGGAAGAGTTTAAGTCGGGGAAAAAGCCAAGTCATGTCTGACAGAGAAATTCTAAATCTCAACTACTTTTTCAGCTTTCTGTCTTTTCTAATTTTTATTCCTTCAAGAGGACATTTAAATACACACTAATGCAAAATTCTGATGCTGTGTCATCCTTCCATGTTCCTACATCTGAGCTATTAAAAAAAAAAAGGCCATATAGCTACTATGTTCATGTCACAGCCTTCCTGATAACCCCCCAGTCCAACACAGAGACAGAATGTTTGGGAAATAAGATGTGATCTGACTCATCCTCCAGAACAGATGGCAGCAATCTGAGAGCTAAGGACCTTGATGCCAAGCAAAAAAGAGAATATTCACTAATAAGGTGCCACTATAGGTGTGTTATTAATATTCCTATGGCAGCAGCACCAAAAGGCCCTCACCAACAGGCAGAGTTCACACTCTTTGCCCACAGCTCACACATTAAAGGACACTACAGGTGGTGATAAATGAAAAACACAGGCAAACAAGACTGGAACAGTCCTATTTAGTACCATAAATTCAAGTCAGATCTCACCTCTATTGCATCCAGGTCTAGCTAACTCCAGCTTGTCTTGCTGTAACTGATGCCTGAGAGCAACTTCTATACGAAATTCGGATATGGAAAAGGGTTTGTATGTGCTCAAAAGCACGTCCACACTTTGCAAATTCATCAAGCAGAAGATGTTGCCTCTCCCCTATCAGTCTTGTCTCACTCCCATGGGATCCCTGCTCACATGGAACTGCCCCAAGCTGCCCAGCTGGCACCTGGAAAATCACTGTACCTTCCCACCCAACCTCAGCAAGAGCCCAAGAGTCATTTCCAGAGTCATTTCCACTCACTTCGTTTCTGCTGTGCTTGTATGAAACGTGCTGCTTCAAGCTCTCCTTCCTGCTGAACAGCTTTGCACATTCCTCACATTTAAATAGTTTGTCACCTGAGGGGATCAATCAAGATAAAAGGACAGTAGTCAGTGATTGATTATAACCAAGCAAGACAGGGGAAACCAAAGCACAAGCAAACTGCAAACGAACAGGCTAGTGATGAAAAACAGTAATTCAGGAGATCTAAATAGTGGATTTTAACCATTTCCAACGATTTTGTTAAGCTCCCCCACCCTTTTTCGGTGATTATTTTTCAAGGAACCCTTAGAATAGGACACAGACCCCTGGAACTGCAGATCACAAGCTAAAAAGCACTCAGCTGGCATTTACACAGCTATGTTACCCATATGTGAAGGTGGGGGTGATATATATATGTATACACTTTAAGGCAAGAATAGTTTTGGAATAAACAGTTCATCCTTGCCCTTACTTAAAAGATGTACTCAATTCAAATTTTAAATACTCTGGCTTCAACTTTCAGCTGTTACCTTCTCATGCTTTGTTCTGCATAACTAAGAGAGTTTCCTAGAGAGAGTTAAGAGAAAGAAAAAAGGAAAAATAGCTCTCTTATAGCTACGTATCCCAATATATAAAATATCCCAGCTATTTTACTCAAAGGTGGAAGCAACAAGAGACAAAATGAATCCCCAAGTGAGGTGAAGAGCAAACCCACCATGAGAACGGATGTGCCTGCTGAGGTTGCTGCTGTTCTGGAAGATCTTACTGCAGATACTGCACTGATAGACCCGCTTGTGCTCCCCAAGCTGCTTTATCAGCTTCCGCCGTATCCTGTGTCTACTAGAGAGAATTAAACTTCTTTTGAGGGACATGGTGTTTTGGTGATGAGCAAACCTACTGGATCAGAGAAAAAGGCAGGGACTGAAAGGTATCCCACAGGTTGCAAGAGAGTTCCACCAGCTGGCAGAAGCTGGAGGAGTGTTAATGCTCAGCTCCTGGCAGGAGAGAGGGAGGGAGGGAGCCTGGATGGAGCTTCCTCAATGCCAAGGTGCCCCCCCGGCCACCCCCTGGAAGCAGCAGATGCCAGAGTGTGTCTCATTCCAAATTATCTTCACCCAGCACGAACAAGGCAAAAAGCAGCAGCAGATGCTCTTTGCAGCCCCCCTCAGAGGAACAGCAAGGATCTGTTCTGCTCACCCTCTGAAAACATCAGCGCTATTTCAGCTTGGAAACCTTGGCAGTACCCAGGCAAAAGGCATTGCCAGGCAGCAGCACTGTGCTATTTCCCAGCACAATCACACTCTGAAATGCATTTTCTGTGTCTGCTAAGAACTTTAATATATAGCATTACTAGCTAATTTTGAAAAATCGAGTGCTTTATTATAAAAAAAAAATAATTCAAGAGGCCAATTTTACTAAGACAAAAAGACACAAAAGAATTCAAATTAATCAAACAATACTTAAGAGTCTCCCTGAGGTTCTGTTATACCTAAGTTTTCCCCTCCCACTGCTCTAAATCTGAAGTATCACACAAAACCAACATAAAGTCATTCATGAGTTAAGACGACAAGCAAGACTGAATAATAATAATAATAACAGTTAGCAAATTGGTTTTTTCAGCAAAAATTTCTTTGCCTGTCTTATCACCAACATTCAATGGGAGTAATATTTCACCTTGCAGCTGCAGGAGGCTTTTGGAATCACACTGAATAAAAGCAGCACTGTGATGGAAAATGAAATTCTCGTTTATGTTCCAAAATTCTACCACCAATATCACACCATCTTCCAGTGCACAGGCCAATCTTTGTGGCACTCAAAAATCAGCTCTCGTAGAGGCAGCAGCAGCAGCAGCATCACACAATTTTATGCTGATAAAAAAGAGCATCTGTGGGCCCAGAAGTCTAGCAGAGCTGCTACATGCTACATAATCTTAATTAAACCCAAGAGGAAACCGTGCATCCCAGAACACTTACTTTGTCACTGAACTGATGCTATTTGTGGTGCTAGGCATCTTTCCTAAAACCAAATCCATAATCCTCTCCTCTGCAGGTGGAGGCAGGGCTAGCTCTTCTGGAGGGAGCTCAGTTACAATGTCAGCCACATGTTCCACTGCAAACACACCATAAAAATACAGCATTAATGTGGATAGCTAGAAATACAACCTCAAGTGTAGAATTTGTGACAAGATGTGGCAATGGACAAATTAATTGTCCGCAAACACGTTCACAGAATCATAAAACAGGGTGGGTTGGAAGGGAGCCTTAAAGGTCATCTAGTCCACCCCCCTGCCATGGGCAGGAAGGTCTCTCACTAGACCAGGTTGCTCAGAGCCCTGACCAAACTGCCCTTGAATGTTTCCAGGGATGGGCATCCACCACCTCTCTGAGCAACCTATTCCAGTGTTTCACTATCCTCATTGCAAAAAATTTCTTCTTTACATTTAATCTAAACTGTCCTTCTTTTGGTTTAAAGTCATTCCGCCCTTGTCTTATCACACAGGCCCTGCTAAAAGGTCTGTTCCCATCTCTCTTACAGGACTCCTTTAGGCACTGGAAGGGGCTCTCAGGTCTCCCTGGAGCCTTCTACTTCTCCAGGATGAACAACCCCAGGTCTCTCAGCCTGTCTTAACAGGGGAGGTCTTTGCAGGCCTCCTCTGGACCCAATCCAATAGCTCCATGTCCTTCCTGTGCTGAGGAGCCCAGAGCTGGATGCAGCACTCCAGGTAGGGTCTCGTGAGGGCAGAGAAGAGGGTCAGAACCACCTCCCTTGAGGGCAGCCCAGGACATGGCTGTTTTCTGAGCTGTCAGCACACTCTGCTGGCTCATGTCCAGCCTCTCACTCACCAGCATCCACCAAGTCCTTCTCAGATGGGCTGCCCTCAATCCCTTCATCCTCCAGCCTGTTCTGAGACCACCACCTTGCACTTGGCCTTGTTGAGCCTCATGAGGTTCCAAATGTTATTTGTCAGTGACAAATAATGGATTGCTAACAAGTCGCTTCCAGGTCAGAGCAAGTGGCTGCTGAATGACAAGATGTAGCCAAAATCTCATAGGGAGGCCTAATTTCTTACCTTTCCAACCTGTCACTAAAGGGTCAGTTGGTCATGCATTGTAAAATTTCCTACTAGAACTTCCCTTCAAGGAAGATAATGCCCTGAAAAAGGCCTCTTGCAAGAATAAACCTTAAGGTCAAGAGGAGGATGTCTCCTCTTGAGAGGGAAGATACTTTCTCTCCTGTTCCTTCCTGCAGAAAGCAAGGCAGGTCTCATAAACCTGTGTTTCTCTGGGCCTCTCTATTACTAAAACCATCACAGGAGAATGCAGGCAATCTAAATGTAGGTCCTGCAACATCCAGCACAGACAAGGCCCTTGAAGATAATTAACAAAGCCTGTTAATTGTCTGCTTTGCTGATCTAACTAAAAACCTCCATCTTGTTACTGTGCTACTTTCTAGGCCTTCCTGAGAAGGCATCATACAGATGTATGAGCGGATACATTCCTTAACACTTTCTCATTTTCTTAAGCTCTGTTTTACCTGCGGGATCTTTCTCTTCCTCAACGACAAGAGGTGCTTCTGCTTTTGGTGTTTTGGCCTTTCTCCCCCTCCTGGCCTTTCTCCTGGAGTCTGTGCTGGCACTGGCTGCATCACTGGGCTCTGGCTGGTCCGTGGGGGGAGCCTCTGCTGCCTTCTCTGCCACAGCATCATTCAGGCTGGGCTGGGGGGCACCTTTGGCTTGTTCCAGGTGACTCAGCAAGTGCTCTGGGTGGATGGGAAAGAACAAGAGAGTAAGGAGGAGAGAAACTGTCACGAAATAGTCCAATGGATCCAGCTGAAGCCCATCTATCAGGTTCATCTCTCTTTGCAGAGACTCAAATTATTTCAAAAGCAGTCCCAATGCCTTCCTAAATAAAAGCATATCATTTATTAAACATTTACACAATTACAGGGACTGAATTTTTTAGGAGATTTGTTGGATATCACTGTTGTGATATCCAGTAAGGTTGTGCATACTAATAACAGGTATGTTTTTCCAAATGCCCAAGTTATTTAGGGGCTAAGCCCCCTTTTCAAAAACAATTCATTGAATGGTCAGAGCTTCTAAATATTTTTTTTAAAACTGCATAATATAGCTGCAAAGAAAATGCAGAAAAAAAATAAGTATTTCATTACTTTTACTAAGTATGTGCCATAAATACCAGACAGAAAATATTATGAAGTATAAGCTGGCATCACTGACCTTCCACACTGTTCATGCAGCTCCCCATCCTTGATTTTCCTGACAGTCACATGTCATCCTCTAAACGAGTTTTATTTCTTCTAGATTCGACAATAAAGTTGTTTGCCCACAGACTGCCCACTCACATCCAAAATATCACTGTTTTACCTTCCCTGCTACCCTTTTTCTTAAAGGAACACAAAACCTAAAACCTTTATCTTACTGCATCGTGGACTGTCATGGCTTCACAGCTGTGGAAGAGCAGAATTCTGCTGATGGTTCTCAGTATTCTCTCATGAATTTCTAGCACTTCTTACCTGTCAGCAGCTGAGGCTCCTGGAAAGCAGATGAACACACTTTACACATCCACTGGCTGGGCTTTGCTTCTGCTGTTCCACTGCCTTCCGGAGTGTTCACTAAATCACAGCAAGAAGAAACACTGAAAAGCCTTGGAAAGGGAAAGGTGGTAAATCCCTGCGGCTTTATTTATCTTGCAATACCTCCCTGAGTATCACAGGTTACAATTTAAGCGGTATAAAAGGCCCATGGGGATCAGCTGGGGTCACTTCAGGGTTTTCCAAACAGGAACATTTGAAACACCAGAAGACACTAAATGATGCCAGGAGAGAGTATCAGTGCTCTTGTAAAGTCCTGAGGGCTCCTTTTTCACTTTCTAAGAACTGTGTTTATAAAAGTCATGATATAATGCAATTTTTAGCACTTTTAAAACTGGAGTTACCAGTGCTCTTCTGGGTCAGCTGAGGAAAGAAGCAGGAGAAGCCTCCTTGTTCTCTGTGAAGAGCATTGCAGAGTAAGAACATTTGGATTAATGGAAGTAAGGGTGAGGACAATGAAAACCTGGGTTTGAGCAGTTCCATTAATCAAATGTGCTATGAAACCACCATATTAATGTTTTAATTTAATGTTTTTTCAAGTTCAGGCCAGATAGTGAAAATAAAGAAGAAATTAGGGGGAGAATGGAACTGGAATGAAAAAAGAAAAAAAAGAGGAAAATGGTTACTCTGTTCACAGTCCATTGTATTTTAGTCCTTGAATAATGTGTCTGAATTTGTCAAGAGGATCCAATAAATCTGGACCAATTCAGAGATTTTTCTGGCTCACACAAAGCTGAATATTCCATGGTGTACAATACTCCTTCAGAGGAGGAGGATCACACTGAAGTTTGGGTAAGTGAATGGCATCATAGGGAATTCAAATTGTGCTTCAGTTTCTGCCAGAGATTAGCAGGTCAGTTCATCTCTCTCTGCCTGAGGACCCCATCTGTGATGGGACAATAAAGTTCTTCCTCCTTTTCAGTGTTGGCTCTTAAACCAAAATAACAGATTCTCTGAGGCAGAGGCTGTTCCCTGCTACAAGGTATGCTCAACATTCTGCACTACAGGGGTGTGATCTCATCCATGCTGTAATAAACAAATAAATAAGAAATTACTAGATAGTACAGCAACAGAAATTCCTTCTTCACAGGGTACATAAAGAACTTCCTGAGAGCTCTGTCCAGGAGGACAAAACCAGCAAAGCTAAACCCCAAGATTCTGCATAACTGAATTTTCCCTGACTCTGCAGTTCCCTTGCTCTTCAGCTGCCTCCAGCAGTAAGCCCAGAAACCCTAGTTGTGCTCTGGTTTGTCAGGAAGAGTCAGGTCCTGTTTAAGTTCCCACTTCCTCAGGCTTCCAGGGAGGCTGCAGGGCAGTGTGGTTTACTTGGAACCACAGATCTGTCAGTTGGCAACTGCTTTGCATGACTTGAGGCAAACAGTCAGAATCAAAAGGAGAATATTTTGGTTTGGAAGCACCGAAACACGACAGTAGTGGGAACACTTTAGGGTTCCCAAAATACAACAGGCAGCGTTTTGTTTCTATTGAACTTGGACTTTCAGACAGCAGGATGAAGGATGTGAGAGGGGCTGTTCAAATTCTTCATAATTTACCCTCAGAAAAATCAGTAATGCCAAGCTCAAAGACAACTCCCCAGTCAACTTCCCATTTTTAGCTTTGACAGTATCCAAGAGGAACAAATGGATCTTCTAAAGAATTAATTTGTACACATCTGCAACAACTCTCCTCCTGGCTACTTTTAGTATTAATAAGCAAAACTTAGGAAAGTGACCTTTTAAAGAACAGGCCCAGAATGGTTTTTTTTTGATCCTGATCTCCACACTAGGTACTCTAATTGTCTTATTTCCTCAGCCATATGTTCTTTGCCAAGAGTATCTGTATTCCTTATAAATTTATTTAAATTTGAGTTCCTGTAATCCAGAACAGTCTCAACATGAATAGGCTTCTGGTATTATTGTAATTTGGGGATGGCCAGTATTTTTGTAATTTGGGGATGGCCAGTATTTTTGTAATTTCCAAACTGTTCTTACACCTACCCAACAGTCTCATGTTTTCTTCTAGAACCTGATCATTTGAACTGTTACACTTTGCACAGGGAGTCTGAAGATTTTCTTTTGGATTGCCCCCATCCCAACACCAACCACCTCCAAAGTCAGGAGCAGTTGTGTTTTTCATGAAAATCACCTGCCTAAAGGTTTGGCCTCTCTGTTTCTTTTTGACCTGCATATGTATTTTAAGCACTGTGCCCATGAAAACTAAAACAAAAATCCAGACTTTCAAATCCTCTTGAAATTAATATTTGCTGTAAGTTATATAACCATATATATACAATTATATAAATAGAACTGTTAGACCTAAGAGCTCTGTAGATCTGCTCTCTACCTCCTTAAAAACACTGTAATTTTGCCTACCTGCTGGATCAGCTGCTGATATGCTGGATTTCTTCGTTTTTTTATGGGGTAAGACAGCAGAAGGTTTTGAAGAGACCTTATTCCCTTCTTTATCAGATTCCATCACTGCCAAGCACACATCTGTGAAGAGGAAAAACAGTTCATCTTCTTTACTTTCCAGACCTTTTGATTCTCTTGCTCTGTGCTGAGAGCAGTAACCACAGTTGTGGTGGTTTGAAACAACCACAAAGTCAAAAAGTTTTACTCTGTTGTAGCAGGCCTGCAAATAACATTCTCATGTAAAATTTTAACCAGGACATTCTTATACCTGAATCTCATGCAATGTGCCTTTAATATTTTGGAGTATACAGTGAAAGTGCTGAACAGAAAGAGCAGGACATACTTAAGCAATATTTTCAAATGCCCATATCCATGCAATAACACATGAACAGGTTAAACTAAAGAGGAAAAAGATGAAACCTCTCAATACCAACCAAAAACATCTCGTAATTCAGAAACCTGTTAACTGCAATAATTCAGCTGTAGCACTTGAGATTCTCCTTATGATCAAAATTCAACCATAAAGCTGATGGCAATGGCCTCTCCCCAAGCATTTGTCACCCCAAATTATACTCAGCATAGCAGTAATACCATTCAGGGAACACTCCCAACTCCAGAGCAGGAGGAAAACACCCTTGCAAATAAAGGGGCAGAGGAACAACAGACTTCTGGCAATTCGAATTCAGATTCTAAAAAATCTGCTGCCTTTCTTTCCAATGCACAAACAGTTGTGGATCTTATTCTAGTGGGTCCCATGTCTTAAGACAAATGTAGTTATTTCAGAACTGTGTTAACAGTTTTGTGCAAAACCAAAACACTTTCACTGCAACTGAAGGGGAATGGCTTCCTTAGAAAATCTGCACATATGTTTAGACTTCACTGATACTCGAGTTCCTTTGCCCTTCTACCCAGAAAAACAGAAATGCAACCACCAATTCTTTAGTTAAGAACTATTTATCCAGTTTGTTCACTCTGAAGAGGCTCAGTCACCAACTAGGCCGTCTGTTTTCAAAAACTTGGCTGCACCATGGTGAAGAATCTGTGCTTTCTTCTTGCAGGGCACCCCTGTACGCAGGTTAACCTGACTCAGGGGGCAGAGCCTACTGGATAAACAGCCCTGTCAACTACAACAGCAAGGGACTGTCAGTCCCTGTCAGCACTGGGCCCTTAGGAAGGAAGAAAGGCCCCCACACATACCATTGGCAACACTAGGGACCTGCTTCAGCACTGGCTTTTCCATTTTTTTGGCGTAAAAAGCTGCATACCACACTCGCAGCTCAGTCCCTGGCGGGATATCCTGGCAGGTGGTGAAGTAAATGTCATTGTCATGCTGGAAGGCAGTTAAGTTTTGGTGCTCATACTCGGTGGCCGGTCGCACCATCATCATCCAGTTGCAATCGTCCTCGTTTGTGGTGTCAAAATACACCAGGGGCCCATCCTTCTGGAACACCTACCAAGAAAAACATGTGCATGTAATAAAAACCCCGATAAATAACACAAAGTCAAGGAAGATTTTTATTTCCTGCTTTTGCAATGGCTTCTTTTCAGTGTACACCAGAGACAAGGCAAGTCTCAACACTGGCATGAGGCGTGTTTCATTTATCAGTCACACTTTCAGATGGGTAAGTCTGAGACAGACTACCAGGAGCAGGATGGGAACAAACTGACTTCCTATCCTAAGAGTTCTTGCTACAGCCACCAGTTTCTCAGAAAATGGTTGGATACAGGAGGATGGAGTGAAACACGCTGTGAAACACCCATCAGCCCAAGTCACATTCCTAAGTCTTTACTTCTGACTTAGGTATCAGTGAAAACTAAGACCGAATTCCATTTTTAGTGTAGCATTTTTCCTGCCAAAACTTGTCAAGAGAGGAATAAAACAAATGCAAGGCAGAAGAAAAAACCCAACTTATTCTGCATGTTCCATAAAGGTAAACAATCCAATTGAAGAGTTTCATTAACTGCCATAGTTGTTGTCCCTCTTGTATCATCACATGCAGAAGATGAAAGACAACCAGTTTTGCTCACTATATATAACACTTCAAACACAGAATGATCCACCAGATTGGTTCTTCTGTACCTTGCCCAGAGATTGTTTCTTTAACTCATCCATTACAGAGCACACCTAAAAGATGTTCCAAATAATCCCCCTACATACACTTTTTTCCATAGTTTCAGATGGCATAAATCCATCACAGGTAAAACTGACGGTTTGTTCTTGCTTCTCATGTGCTGTGTCTCACCTTCAGGGGAAAAACTGATTCTTTTTCCACCTTGAGAACTCTCTTGCACTCAAATGGGCCAAACTGGGTGCGTTTCACCAGCTGGGTCAGAGCAAACACTCCTTCAGTCCCATCTTCCAGTTGTCTTATCTCCAAATTAGAAGGCAGAGATGACCTAAAAATTGAAGACAGACTTAAGGAAAAAATAATTACCCATGGGACAACACTGCAGGAACCGATGAAAGAAAGAAGTCAACATGTATTCTTCCAATCTCTGGTAACAGTAAAGTTTTCTGATCAACACACCCTAAGTTCTGTGAGGGTTTATAAATAGAGGAAAACAACTACCAGCAGTGGAGGAGGGACAAATCAGTGATTACCTGAGAAAGCTCAGTCTGTGTAAGTCCAGGAACCTACCTGACTGGCTGCACCTGAGAATCCCAACAGAGTAGTCCAATACCATACTGAGACTACTCTCAATTGTCTTGGAAAGACCATGGGCAGCAGGGGAGGTGTCTGATGACTCCCCCTCTACTCTCCCCTCATGAGACCCCAACCTGCAGTGCTGCATCCATCAGGAAAGATGTGGACCTGTTGGAGTGGGTCCAGAAAAGGACACAAGGATGATCAGAGGGCTGGAGCAGCACTGCTGTGAGGAAAGGCTGAGAGAGCTGGGGTTGTTCAGCCTGGAGAAGAGAAGGTTCCAAGGAGATCTCATTGTGGCTTATAAAAAACAGAGAGGGTGACTTTTTGCACAGGTGGATGGTGACAGGACAAGGGGCAATGGTTTTAAACTAAATGAAGAGAGATTTAGATTAGATATTGGGAAGAAATTCTTTACTTCGACAGTAGTGAGGCACTGGAACAGGTTGCCCAGAGAACCTATGGATTCCCCATCCCTGGAGGTGTTCAAGGGCGTTGGATGGGGCTTTGAGCCACCTGGTCTAGTGAATGGCATCCCTGACCATGGCAAGGGAACTGGATGATCTTTGAAGTCCCTTCCAGCCCAAACCATTCTATGATGGTGACTGAAGAAAGACAAATGTTGCACTTATCTTCAAAAAAGGATTATATTCCAAAGGGCTGATTTGCCTCACTTCAGCCCCTGGGAAAACCATGGAACAAGACCTTTTGGGAGGCATTTATGGGCACATGAGGAGAAGGTGGCTGGAAAGAGTCCCCACAGAATGAATAAGGGCAACTCATGCCTGACAAACTGTTTGTTTTCCAGGACAAAATGACCAGCTTTCTGGATGAGGGAAGAGCAACAGATGCCATGTCCCTTCAACTTAAGGGAAATTACGTTTTTTTAGGCTTTCAACAATCCTCTCTGTATCCAAGTTGGAATGTTGTGGTCTTGGATGGGTACACAACTACTAGAGGACATAACTCATTGGGTGGTCAAGCTTAGAGGGTCATGATCAATGGAGGCCACAGCAACTGGGGCACCACAGAGAGCTGTGCTGGGAACCTGTACTGTTAAACAATCCTTAACAACCTAGAAGGGACAAGGGAGTGCACTCTCATCCAGTGCAGATGACATTAACTGGGGGGCACAGTCCATACATCAGAGGGCAGGACTATCCAGAGGGACCTGGGGAGCCTGGATACACTGCCATGAACCATGTAAAATTCCAGGGACAAATGCAAAGTCCTGCACCTGGGAACGAAGAACTCCAGCAGCACCATCACCGGGGAGAAAGACCCTGGGGAGTTGGTGGGCAGCAAGGTGGACATGAGGTCATGTCCCAGCAGCAAAGGCGGCCAAACACAGCCTGGATGATTTGGAGGAGCAGCCAACAGATTGAGGCAACTGATTGTTCCCCTCTGCTCTGCACTCATGAGATCCTGATGATTTACTGCCTCCTTTTTTGGGCTCCCAGTATGGGAAAGACATCAAAAACAGGCAAAAGCAGAAGGGACAATATACATAAAAATGAGTGGTTGAGCATGGATGTTAGTGCTGACTGGAACATCCTGAGGCCTCTTCCCAAATGAATTATCCTACATATCTTTGGTTATGATCACGCTTACTTTAAAAAATAAACTATATCCCTCCCCAAATTAACACTTTATAGACTTATGCAGATCAAAAGCCCTGGAAGTTTCCCATCTGCTTTGTAGATCCCTTATTACAAACACTGATACATTGATCACAAGTGCTTCTGTGCAATGAAGATTGTTACTACACAGAATACATAGAGAACATCTCCCCAAAAAAATCATATGACTGGAACCACCGTATTGGTTTTACAGACCCCAAATGCAACTCTGTTTTTTTCAGGTCTGTGCTAACAGATGAAAAGCTAAAAATAATCAGACAGACTACTGACTACAAAAGTTGACACTGGCAGAACTGCTTTAGTGTCTAGATGAAGAGAAATACAAGAAGATAATAGTGATAAGCAAATTAATTGAAAAAAATGTTTTCAGTTTTAAACATAGAATAAGCAATGTTAGAGACAGTGAAGCTCAGGAGATGTTTCTCAACACTTCTTTTATAATCCTTATGGTTTATTCATTTTATCTCTTCATTAGGACAGAGGAAACAACAATTGTGGTTAAACAACTAGACTGGTTTTTAAGAGAGTCATATCCACTTTGTGGTTAAACTTGCCCTCAACCTCAGACAACTCACTCCCTCAGCTACTGTTCCCAGATGTAAAATAAAGGTTGCCCTTACATTTCTTCTTGGTTTTTCTTATGTTACCTGATTTCAGCTGTAAACTCTTCAGGAAAATAAATACATTTTTCTGTTATACAGTCAGTTTTAAATTCTGCTTTCAAATCTACTGTCCAGCAGCCCAAACTTCCACTAGGGAAAACTTGGCATTTGCATGTCAAAAAAAAAACAAAACTGAAAACCAGTGCAAGCACCACATTTGCAAACACTCACAGTTGGAAATTCTGGATGCCGTGGTAATTTTCCACCATACAAATAAATAAGAGCATTAAATTGCAAGGAAAAAGAAAACAGATAAAAGGTAAGAAATAACAGTCATTCAATCTGTGTAGTGCAGGCTGGAACTTACTGCACTGCCCAGATTCTGTGTGTAAGAAAAGCGCCTCCACCCCCAGTTTCTGTTGTTCCTATTTTGAAATTACCCCCAAAGACAAAGCACCTCTAGTGTCAGGGCTGTTAACAGTTAACATCTGCTGCAGCAGATCATCCATGGCAGGCTTTTCCAGGCACAGGAAGGTGCTACCTGGCAGGAGCTGCCAGGGCAGTTCCTTTTCCAGGAAGGCCCAGAAAACCAGTGACAGCTCCTGCACAAGTGCTGCCAGTGTACAGGGTGGGACACCAGAAGCATCCTGCCCCATGTGGCACATCCAGCACATCCAGTATTTGTTACAAAACGATCCTGGGAATACACACTACGGCCTACATAGCCAGCAGGTGCCAGACTTGCTGCCCACATGCCCATGTTTTCTGCCTGTGACTCCCCCGAGGAGAAATATAGAAGCCTTGAGCACATTATATAATCCATTTGAACTCCACTTGAACTCTCTTCCCCTTCTGGATTTGTACTACGTCTTCACAATAGCTAGTTCCTTTCCTGAGCCTTACATTTTACATCTTAATATGAATTCTGCTGACAACGCCTGATTGTCTTTCTCTTTAAAAATCACTACTTAGTGTTGTTTGCTCCCAACTAGATTTAGTCTGTTTGTTTCTTTTGGCAAACATGAGCGTTTCTGCTGGGCTGTCACAGATTTTCTGACAGAACTATTACCCCTAATCATTCCTAAAGACCCACAATAATGAGAACAACTTGTTTTGCTTCTAAAAGCGGAGGAATGATGGAGTTCATACCAAGCAGAAGGATACAGCATGAATGAGAAATCCTCAGACACTTCTCTGAAACTAATACAGTGCATCTGAGGAGGGGAAAAAGTGGCAGGTACTCAACCAAGACAGGAGTCATCACCCCATCTGGCACTACCTGACTTTTTGCCAGAAACCTCTGCGGAGAAACCAAATCCTGATGAGCGGCACGTTATTTTTTTGGCTCCAGTTCAGTACAGCACTCAAGTGTGTGCATCAATTTTTCTATTTAATCAAGGCCATGTGCTTTCCATAAATTTCTGCAGCCCACTGGGACTTCGCTTTCCAGCTGTCAGTGACACCCATTAGCCAGCAGATATGTTTTAAAGGACCAACAGGGGTGTTGGGTTAGGCAGGACTAATTCAAACACTCCTTACCTTGCCCTGCTCAAGACAAAGGAGTCTTTGACTGTCACCACTGGGCCCAGTTCAGGACACTCTGAATCATGGTACTGCCCACAGTCCTCGCACCCTGCAAGGAAGCAGAGAGAAAAGGTTGATAAAACACTTTTGTGAGACAGCTGCCTCCTTCTTCCAAGCCAAACCTGGCACCAGGCAAAATACATACATAGAGAGGCAGATGTTTATTTGTATTGCTTAAAAGAACATGAATAATTAAACATCGAGTTGATAGCTGGCACCTGCATAGGTGAGATAACACACTGTGATCAGTGCTATCAGAAGACAATTGTTTAAATTCTCTCTCAGAGGGAAAATAATTGCCTTACATCCACAGTAAATATTCTCCTGAAAGATGGCATTATTCTTCAGATGAAGTGCTATAACATGTAGCAGATAAAGAAAACCACATTACTACCTTCCCCAGAACCTGGTTTTTTAGAAACAGCTTGGCTAATGTGGTGTTTTCAGTGACAGGAGGCATAAATCAGTACCAGAACTGGCACAGACCTCAGCACAAGCATGTTTTGGGAGCCCAGCTCTGCCCAGAGCCATGCCTGGCCCACACACACTTCTCACCCACAGAGCAGGGAGACAGACCTCTAAGATACCTTCTGGTGCCTTTCCAAACAAGTCATCTAGCTGCACAATACACTTAGTTCACTGTCAGTTTACCTAAATTAACTTTTAGTTTAAGTGGCTGTAAATTACCCAGAACTGAGTGGTTCCTAAGAAACCATTTTCAGACCACGATAATTTGAGGCTTTCTAAAATAAGCTAACTTAACAGGATTCCAAATGCATATACATTGCTTCGCTGTGAAAAAATAGCTGCCAAACTGCCCTGCCTGGTCAGCTGCTGACACAGCTTCAGAGGAGATCATCACACAGGGGTTATATTCCTGTAATGCCATTTCCATCTGAGCTCCACACTTACAAGGGCAAATCAGGTAACCACAGTAAGGATGCAAAGAGGAGGATCACTACACCTTGTTTGGGAAGAGACATGACAAAAGCCATGTCATTCCAAGGTATGTCCCCTCTGGTAAAGCTACTCTGAAATCCTAACTGGAAACTTCTCCCCCCCAGGTATTCGTCCCAGTGAATAAAAGGACTTCTTCTAAAACAGGGGATCCCAAACTGCAATCCGCAGCTCCACGTGGTTTCTTCTTCTGGCAACAAAAACAGCTTAGCAGTGAAAATTCACGTATATTTGACAAACAGCAGTACTGACTGATGCAACCCCCAAGCCTGGTTGCTGCCTCCTCTTTGTGCTGCCTTCTGGTGAACCGAGGAATGAGACAACCAGCTCTTCCCATCAGTTTATTTTTCAGCTGAATTAATTTCCCAGTCTGGCTTGCTGTACAGCACCAGACAGTTGTGTCACTGCAAAGAATCCACAGGGAAGTTCCATCCACGCAGCACCAGCATCTAAACTCAGCCTACAGCTGTCCTGTTTACTGTCCCACCATCCCCACTCCTTTAGGTGAGCCTGTAGCTCACACTGTGCCTAATATTCCTGAAATAACCTGGGCTAAATACAGATTTCCCAAAGCAGAGAGGAGCCACAGAGGAATGTGTAAACCAGACTGCTGAAAAAAACTGGATTATCACCCACAAAGGGCTGTCACAACCAACGAGGACAGGAAGGAATAGCCAGAGCAGCAGCTTCTCACACAGGCTTTGCTGTCAAAGGAAACTTTGTGTTTTTCTTTTCTCCTGACTGCATCAAGGCACTCCTCACTTCTGCAAAGATAAGCCACTGTACGGGTTCAGACTGCACTGTCTCCACAACTACCTGCAGGAATAAACCACACAATCCTCTCCTCTGCAGAGGAATGACCAGATTCAGGGGAATATGACGTGTAGCATGTCTCAATATCCAGGGGATACCTTACAGCAACCAAGAGATTACAGCCACAGGAGAAACACAAAAATTAGCATGGGAATAAGCATAAAATACCTCCAGGGGGGACTGTATTCACAGATTTCTATAAAAAAATATTCCAAAACTCTCTTGTCTATGAAATACGTACTCAAGGTTGTTAATTCTGGGAATGCACAGTATCATTTGTAACAACTCGCTTTTTCAGAACATAAGCAGTCCCCATATCCCATGGGAAAAACTAATTATAGAGAGCACAAGAAAACTCAAGACAGACTTCACTGGAAAGAGGAAAATCGTGTGTGTGTCTTTCTATCTGTGCAATTAAGGAATGGCATCATATTTCCATTCTTGTTGCTATCCACCAGAATCTTTTTGTGGGAAGACAAGGTAACTTCACTACTGGTATCTGCAATTCAATAAAAATGCCAGCAGTCAACACTATTTTTGAAGGAATCTGTGGGGGGGGGGAAAGTGGAATTTCCTGATATAGTTGCGATAAGGTTAAAGTGCACCTGTGGAGCCATCAGGGGTAAAATACTGTGGATCCAGAAACCAAGGACACATTCTGGTCTGCCCTGATCGGATCCACGATATCAGGGCCCTCTCTGCTCACACAAGTAGGTGAGTGGACTCTGCACCTCTTAATTTTTTTTCCACGGTGACACCAGATCCTGCATGTCCAGGCAGGTGACAAAGGCAAGGCTGCAGGGCTAATGTGCCACTGGGAAACGAGCTACTGGCCAAGCTCCACCAAGGATGGGACACTGCCCACCACACTCCCTGGCACACCACTGCTGCAGCCTTCCCTCACTCACCACGATCCCACAGTCCACATCCCAGGCCACAGAGCCCGGTGTGGCACATGGGGTTACACAGAGGGCAGAAACGTGAAGCACAGGCAGTGAATGCCACGAGTGAGACTCGTCAGAGCAGTCGGTGCATCTCAAACTGGGCTTGTTCTGAAAGAATAATGAGCCTGCCTCCCCCTCCTGTGGAGGTGCAGATCTTCAGGTCAGGCCAGAGGTCACAGTTCCTCACAGACACCTCGGGGTTGCTAAAGCTGGCTGGATAAACAAAGGCTTACACTGGTGTTAGGCCTTCATTCTCACTTACTCCAGCCATGAAAAAGCTGTTCTGCTCACTCACATTCAGAGGTTTCCTTGTGTGTTTGCCAACAGGATCAGAATGTGTATGCTTCAATTACACGCCCTCCTCTCTATTCCTCCATAAGCTGTTTGAGCTTCCTTTAATAAAATATTTTTCTAAATAAAATCTTAGTTTGTTTTAGTCTTTAATTTCAAACATTCTGAGTAGACAAGCCACATGACATGAGAGTCGGATCTTTTTCCTGATACTTACAAATAAACATAATCTCATCACTGCCATCTTCAGCCATTTTTTAAACCTGCCAAAATACAAAAGATGAAGTTAGTTCTGAATGACTTTTACTTTCCATATTATGTAAACATCCCTTTGTGAAGTAAGGATGCTGACTGGCCCAGAGCACACCCAAACACATTAATGTCCCTGAAGGAGTATCAATGGAAAATTAAAGAAATTAAAGTTGTTAAAACCCCCAGTAACTGCAGAAACAAGGCCCCGTGCAACATTTTCCTGAACAGCAGCTTAAAAAAATTATCTCTGAAAGGCAGATTGCTTATTTAATAAACACAATAATCCTAAGAACCTAAAAACTGCAGGTAAAGTCACAGATCTGTTCTAAAGGCTAAGGTATATTGAGGTAATGAGGATCAGAAAACCTGGGAAAACAAATCCCATCTCTGACACTGGCCTTCCATGAAATGGTAACTCACCAATTTGCTTTCATGGTTAAATAAGGATAATCTACATTCATTTCATTTTTGTCGGCCTATATTAAAGACTTGCATGAACACTATCTAATGCTCCTCAATGATTAAATTATGGCAAAAAGTCTGATTATTTATGGCTAAGATCACAACAGCAGATAGTTCTCCCTTTTCTAACCATGAAAAGGCTCTCCTCTTCAAACAAGCAATTTTCCCAATAACCCAGTAAGAGGTAAAGCAACATGAAGATCGTGACCCAAGTCTAAGAGAGATGAGGCTCTAGAAACAGAAAGTGTATCGGTCAAGAAGAGAATAGGAAGGAGAAAGAGAGAACCTGTGAGAGGGAGGAGGACAAGAGGAGAGGAAACATGACACACCAAACTAGCAGAGCCCTGTTTGAAAACAGATAAAGCATTTGCTACTACTGCAACAAAAGCCAAGCCAAAGATATGCACAAGAACAGTCATTACTCAGGATCAGGGCAGGAGCACGACTCTCCATTAGGAGTTTACTCTTGAAGACTGATGCTCCATGTGCTCTGCCTGGCTGGGCTGTGGAAATAGGCCTCAGGTTGGAGCCCAGAGCAGCAGCTACTTCTGCACAGGTACCTCTCAGCACAAGTCCCACACAATCCTTTTCACTGCTTCAGGAAGGATTCCACACTTGTGCCAACTGTGCTGCTAAAGCCTGGGAGCAATGTCTGATTCCAGCTGCACCCACACCCTGCTCCACCTCCAGCCTCCAACAGAAGCAGCAAACAGGTTCCTTCATAAACAACTCCCAGTTAGCAAAGGGCTCCATGCCCACACAGAGATGCACTGGGTGGAAAGCCATCACAACTGATGGAAATACAAAGGGACACCTGGTCACTGTGGCTCTTGGTCATGGCAGGAGGCATCCGGTTACTCAGCTATCTGGGCAACAGCCTAAGGGGAATTTTGGTCATGGAGTATGGGCAGCCTGACTTTCCCCCATGGTCTGTCCCAAGCTCTGCCCTGCCCAACTCCACCTGCCAACTCCAGGATCCCTCCTAACACCCGCTGCCCTGGGAAGGGGGCAACACTGCCTACCTGTGGCACAAAGCTGGGCCTTTTTTGGCTACAGCTTTTGGGGACTAAGCTCATATAACATAACAAACATTTATATAAAAGCCCAGTGCTGAGCACAACAGCAAATTCAGGAAATTTCCCCAAAAGCTCTTACCCTGAAAGCACAGCAAACAATGCAACAGGTATTTAGGGAAATCCAAACTACAACGGTGCAAAACCAGCCACAAGAAAGTGCATTGTAAGCTGATGTAAAAAATGGGTTTGCTTTTTAACCAAGACTTTATGTGGATGCTTTGCACTATTTCAAGAGGTGTACAAAGGTGTACTATTTTTAGATAGTTGATGTCCTGACAAGACTTTCATCCTAAATATGGCTGAATTAACAAATAACGTCCTCGGTCAATGGTTCGGGGGGGGATGCAGTGCAGCCACACCAGCAATGCTGCTGTGTGACCTGCTCAGCAAAGGCATTCCCCCTCCAGGATGTTCCTGTGTTGCATCCTTGACAAACAGCAAATTGAGGACATGTGTTGTTACAGGAGCAGCAACATCAGTCTTGTTCCAGGGCCCGTCAGATGAGAATAGCAACAAAGGGGCGGAGAAATCACAGTAGCATCAATGTTGTTCAAGGTGATGGGGAGAAAGCGTGAAGGTCCCTCAGAGGTCCCTCACGCAGTGGGTAAGGACACCACACCTCAGTTATCACCTGCATTAGCGCAGTTTTCATCTCTGCAGCAAAGATTTTTGTTTTGCACGTCGCAGGATTTCTGATCCGTCACCCACCGTTCCCGCACCCGGCACGACGACCCGCTGGGCTCTGAAACAAACACCCCTATCTGCTTCAAAATTCGGATTTACAGACTCACACTACTCACCCATGGGCTTCAAAACTCCTCCTCTCACATGTATTTCCCCAAGAGTTTTTGAGATAAATGACACCGTGCCACCCGCTCCAGCTGGTAAACAGAGTCACGATGTTCCACGTGGGCTCACATGATGGCACTGAAGACAGGCTTCAGAATTTTGTTACCCTCTTTCTGCTGTTGCTCTGGGCCATGTCTGATTTTTTTTTTTTTCTTTTCAAGCATTTGTACCAGAAAAATACTCCATTAAGTCACTCATCCCACTGCCTATAATTCTGCTCTTGTCTTGCAGAGATAATCAAAGCTTCTTGGAATTCCAGGTATTTTTTATATGAAACAGAGAGCGATCATTAGCAGTGAATAATCAGGTGAAAAGCAACACGGAAGAAATAAGACCTGGTACAAGGCCTAATTCTGATGGCAGTAAAAGAGCAGAAAACCACATTTTTTTTCTGCTTGTATAATTAAATGGGTGACTTTGTGCCCGAGAGTAGAGCACACAGCTACATGCAAAAATTCCAGCTGCCACACGGGCCTCCAAACATATTTGGAACTTGAGGGAACCCAAATGAAGACAACTGAGGGGCTGCAGCATCACAGGTACCTGTGTGCAGAGCATGACATGTGAGTTACTGTGATGGAACCACTCGTGCCATAAAGGATCCAAAAATGTAAGAACTGATGCAAAAACACACTTTCCCCTAATAAACTGCTGAAGGAAGAAATCAGGCTCCAGTGGTAAGCTGAGTAATTCCGATCTTGCAAATGGATTAAAAAAAAATAAGCAAGAATAACTAAAAAATAAATCCAACGCCTAAAAATCTGTGTTTGAACTTAATGACCAACAAGCTAAAATTAAAGTTTGCCTTTCTTCAGTTTTCCATTGGTTTGAGAATGGGCTTCTAGTAAGTGTGAATAAATAATTTGAAAGCACAAGTGGGTGGGTGCTGCAGATGCACGTGTGCAAGAAGGCACTTAAAAATGCAGTTTTGCTCATGATGTAGTCGAACTTGTTCATGCTACTGCTCAAAGTAATTGCAGAACATCTGGCAAACTACAGAGAGGCCTTGCATTCCCGCAAAATTATGGCCATTCTATCATTTCTTGTCGAGGAGGAGGAGAGGGGGCGATTCCTACACCAGTCGGGGGGCGACACGGAGTAACACACCGGCTGGGAGAGTCGGCGCCACCCGCCCTTCCCAGCGCTCCCCATCACCATGTGCATGAAGTATATGCAAAGTTTAATGAAAACGAGCGTATTGCAGAAAATTCACGTGTGCGAAGCGCCGCAGTCCGCGGCTTTCCCTCCTTTTGTCTCCTCGGGCTCCCGCCGCACCTTCTCCCACCGGGGCAGGATCAGCATCGCTACACCTGCCTCTTCCTTTTCCTCCCCCATTCCCTTCGGATCACACATGGATCCTCCCCCCCTGCCCGCCCCCACCCTCCCAATCCATTCCCGACCCCCTGCGGCCAAGCCGAGGCGCTTCCCCGCTCCCGGCCCCGCACCTCCGTGGCCCCGACGGGTCCCTCTCCCTCCGCGGGCCGATCCCCCGCGGACACCCCACCCGCGCCCCGCCGCCCCGGCGGGACCGCGCCGCCTCCACCCCCTCCCGGAGCCCGCCCGGGGCCCGCGATCCGGGAGCGGCTCCGCCGGGTTTTGCCTCGGACCCGCCTCGCCCCCTTCGCTACCGCCCTCCCGGCCGCTGTAACAAAGAACAGGCGGCCTGGAGGAGGCGGCGGCGGCGGAGGAGGACGAGGACGGGGAGGAGGAGGCGGCGGGGCCGCAGCCGCCGCCGCCCCGGGAGCCGCTCGGAGCCGCCGCCGCGCCCGCCCCGGCCCCGCCGCGCGGCGTGGGGGGCGGCGGGAGGAGCCGCGGCGGGGCGGGCGCGGGGGGTCCCGGGCGGGGGGTGCCCCGGGGGAGGGCGCGGGGTGCGGGCGGGAGGAGCGCGGGGGGACCGGCGTTACCTGCCCCGGCAATGGCCAGACCCGGATCGGATCCGCGCTCCGGGTTCCGATCCGCTCCGGAAACCACGCGCCAGCGGAAGGCGGCGGGGCCGGGGCGCGGAGCAGGGCGGGAAGTGTAGTGCGGGGGGCGGCGGCGCTGTCCCCGTCCCTGTGCCTTATCCCTGTCCCTGCCCTTATCCCCGTCCCTGCCCTTATCCCCGTCCCTGTCCATGTCCCTTCACCGCCCTGGCTCGGGATGCCTCCCCTCCACCACCCGGAGCCCTTCCCGGGAGAGCACCGCACCCGAGACCCCGCAGCCCTTCCCCGGGAGGCTCCCCCGGCTCCTGTGGCTGCGCTGAGCGTGGCAGAGCACCCGCTTCGCACCGAGTTTCCCTTCTCCTCCTGGGAAGTGCTGGCTGGAGGCGTCCCGGAGCGTTCGAAGGGGATCACGGAGTTAATGACAGGTTGGAAAAGGCCTCTGAAGCCATCGAGTCCAACCTGTGACCGAACGCCACCGTGTCAACTAGACCAGGGCACTGACATGTCCAGTCCCTCCAGGGATGGGGACTCCACCACCTCCCTGGGCAGCCCATTCCAATGTCTAATCACCCTTTATGTAAAGAAATTCTTCCTAGTGTCCAACCTAAACGTCCCCTGGCACAGTTTAAGATTATTTCCTTTAATCCTGTTGCTGGTTGCTTGTGAGAAGAGCCCGACCTCCAGCTGGCTACAACCTCCTGTCAGGGAGTTGTAGAGAGCAAGAAGGTCCCTCCCAAGCCTCCTTTTCTCCAGGCTTAACACCCCCAGCTCCCTCAGCCACTCCTCATCAGGCTTGTGTTCCAAACCCTTCACCAGCTTCGTTGCCCTTTCTGGACGTGCCTTGTGTTTCCAAAGCCAAGCCCTGGCCATGCACCTGAGCACCTGTGCCTCTGATCCCAAGCCTCGTAGAGGTTCAGTGCGCCAGGATGAGAGGACATAGCCTTGAGCTACGGCAGGGGAGGTTTAGATTGGACATTAAGAAGAATTTCTTCACAGAACGGGTTATTAAACATTGGAATGGGCTGCCCAGGGAGGTGGTGGAGTCACCGTCCCTGGAGCTGTCTAAGGAAAAACTGGACATGGCACTCAGTGTCTAATTGACATTGTGGTGTTGGACTTGATGATCTCAGAGGTCTTCTCCAACCTAATTCATTCTATGATTCCTATGTCTCTCGTCAGTTTGGTGTTAGCAGGGTCTATCAGGGCCCAGCCCTGCTGTGCCTGACAGCAGACACTGCAGACACACATCACTCAGAAACCTAAGCAGCAATGCCTATATTTTTATATAATGGGCCACCACAGAGGCTTGGTGCCCAGGAAACAAAGGGTGCTCTTCTTCCCCCAGGGGGCTTAAACCTTCAGTTCAGGGTACTTCACCACTCCCCATGTGAAGTGTCTCTGTGCAGCCAAGAACCCCCTCAGAGGAGGTGGCCACGGAAAGAACTACTCAGGCTTTTTGTGTTCGAGGAAGGTGCCCCCAGTTTTTAGCTCTTGCAAGAAGTGTTACCTGCATCAGAGTCCCCTCAAAGCCTTACGCAGCCGTGCCGCTGTGGTGTGACTGGTTCACAGTCAGAGCACGGCTTCAGATTTAAAGGTGATAGAAAGCAGGCACCAGCTCTGTCCTCTCTAGGGGATGTGCTCTTTTCATGTCTGGCTACATCTTTTAACAGTTGGCAAAGGCCGGGGCCTTTCTTGCTTCTCACCTTACCCATCCCGTGAACCCTTCTGCGCAACAAGTACCCAGTTTCAAAAGGGATGTGTAGAGAGTATTCACAGAATCACAGGATGGGTGAGGGAAGGGACCACAGTGGGTCATCTGGTCCAACCTCCCTGCTCCAGCAGGGTCATCCCAGAGCACATGGTACAGGATTGTGTCCAGACAGTTCTGGAATATCCCCAGTGAGGGAGACTCCACACCCTCTCTGGGCAATCTGTTCAGTGCTGGGTCACTGCACAGCAAAGAAGTTCTTCCTCATGTCCAAGTGGAACTTCCTGGGCATCAGTTCCTGCCCGTTCCTCTTGTGCCATTGCTGGGCCCCCCCAAGCAGAGCCTGGTCCATCCTCTGCCCCCTCCCTGCAGACCCTCCAGACCTGGGGGAGGTCCCCTCTCAGTGTCTGCTCTGGAGGCTGGACAGCCCCAGCTCCCTCAGCCTTTCCTGCTCCCAGATATGCTCCAGTCCCTTCAGCATCTTCCTCTGGACCTGCTCCAAGATCTCCATGTCTCTCCTGTCCTGAGCAGCCCAGACTGGACACAGCCCTGCAGATGTGCCTCGTTAGGGCTGAGCAGAGGGGCAGGATCACTTCCCTGGACCTGCTGGCAGTGCTCTTCCTGATGCACTCCAGGACATCGACCATCTTGGGACTGTCTTCTTGTTGGTGCTTGGGTAAACTGAAATAATGCAGCATTTGAATTTTGAAAACATTGTTCTTGGCAAGACAGTGCTAATTTTGGGAGGGGGAACCATTTATTCCTTCACCAGAAGTTTTCAATGAGCACAAGAGCAGTGAGGGGAGGTTTTTCAAGGATCTAACTGCAGGTAAAAGTCATTTGCCTTTTCAAAGACCGAAGCTGACTGGCCTTTAGCTTTGTATAGTCTGCTTTAATTTATTTTCCCTGTTCATCTCAGTGTATACTCACATGGACCTCTGCCTAGTTTTTTCCAGCATCCAGTACACAAGGGTGGTTATCCTACTTGCAGTGCATTCACTTTGTTGGAATAAGTATAAAATAATTCAGAATAGTTATCTGTATGTTTAGAATGCATGTGAGTCTGGATCCTGTAGGTCTAAATTTTTTTTTTTTTCAGGGTTACCATCAGACTGTGAACTTGCACCTTACACTAGCTGGCTTGGATAGAGAGATAATAAAAACATTCATTGTTTAAGAACGATGAACTTAAGGGAAGGGTGTGGTGCCAGACAGTGCTACATCCATTCCTGCTCTCCCTCTGATAGGCCTTGTCACTTTTGCTAATGTACAGAAATGGCATCACACAAAGTATAAAACCTCTCCCCTGATTAGAGCAGGAAGGAAAAGGAAAAAGTTGGGAGACTATTAGGAACTTTCAGCAAAGCAGTGACATAAACAGGCACGTAAATGTGAGCAGTAACCCCGAGTAAGGAAACATAATATTTCCTTGTAAAAGAAGGGACAGCACTCACTTTTGGAAGGGAAATAGAAACACTGTTGTGGCTATTTTCATGTGAATGCCTATTATCTTTTTGGTTGGCTGTGTGTTCTGTTGTTTTAGTTTTGCTGTGTGTGTGTGTGTGTCCCCCCCCAGGTCTGGTAGGGCTTTGTGGCAGCACTGATTTATAACATAACATTTAAAATAAAATAATTGCAAGAGAACCTCATTTCCCAGGCTGTTCTATTTTAGTACTGGCATCTTCTCCACAGGATCAAGGCCTTAACACTCCTTCCCCTTTGCCCCCCAATTCAGGGTATTACAACATAACTGATAGAAAGAATAATAAGTAACTACAACAAGTTCCACAATTCCTTCCTGCCATTAAATTCCCACCCAATCCATGTTTCAGGTGATTTCTCAGGCAACAAGGGGCCACCTGATAGGACAGGGTTATCAGAAACAACCCACAGTGTCAGCACAGGGCAGGTAGAGAACTCTGCTCCTGAACAGACAGGTAAATGGACTGTGTTAAGCAACAGGTCAAATGAGTGAAGGAGGGTAGAAATCCATCTGTTATGCTTGGCTGGCTGGGTATGTAGGACAGCACACTACACAGAGACAATAGGCTTTTATTGTATGTACAGCAAGAGTTACTTCTTTAAAAAAATCCTCTTCTCGGGTTTTTTTTTAATGATATAATAAATCTGTACATCGTATATTTCTTAATTGCACCAACTTAAATTCGTGTACACAAAATAAAAAAGAAACAAACACCACAGAAGAAGTGACTATCACAACTTGATGCTAGAAAAAAAATGTTTTACCCCCCCTGGAATATCAGAGCAGAATACATTATTGGGAAATACAGAGTTATAGTACTGGAAAGACTCCAGATCCATCCTTCCCAGTAATTTTCACACCATGCCAGCACCTTGCATAGTAGCAGTTTGGATATCCTGAGTGAAGTGGTATTATTCACCCTTAACTTAAAGCAATCACCCTTGTTATATAATTAATCTGGAGTTGTTTGTCACCAAGGCTGTGGCTTAGCAATGTACAGAAGCATATGCTGACTTTAAACACATGAATAAATCCACTTAGATCCTGTGGAGGTCAAAGCATGAGGTCAGCTGTTCCCACTCACAGCAGGAATGCCTTCGCCTGGAGCTATGGCATACTTAATTCTGTACCAGGATAAGCACTTGTCTCAAACTTCAGCTCTACAATTCAAAACCTGCAATAAACTGAAGTGAAAAACCCAGGCAGCTCTCACCTTGGATAGAGCTCTTGCTCCTTGTAACCAAGAGCTACCAAAGCTGAAAAAGGTGATAGAAGAGCAAAATTCTTATTTTGCTTCCCCATCCACATTTGGTAGCATTTTATGTTGTCGACTTTTGCTTTTTCCTATGATACTCTGCACATCGAGAACACCAAAACTTTACAAGAAATACACAGCAGAAAGCTTTCACTTGAAAACCACCTAGAACCAGGGAGGAGATGCAGTACCAGGAAAGGCTGTAAAATTTCACTGATCCCCAAAACTGGTGTCATTACCAGGCAATTTCCTCAAAAGAAGCAGTGCTGTGAGCCAAGTCCTCTCAAGAGCAAGACAGTAACTAGTCTATATATGGCCTGGAGCCCCAACTTCTCTCCCAAAGAAAGAGCAGGGAAAAAAGAAAATCTGACAGCATAAAAATAAAGCCCAGTATTTATGCCTGCACTATGCCCGTCCATTAAGCTGAAGAAGTTTGCCAAAGGTGATTTGCTTTTAAAATGAACTTTTTTCCACTCTGGCATTCCTCTTCCTTCCTGCCAGCTCAGATTCACAAATTTCATATATTGATAGGAGTGAAATGACTGTCATTTCTTCCTGGAGTGAATGGGATGAAATAGCAATGATCTAGGGATGAAGGCCCCCCTCCTCTTCAAAGTGACTCTGAAAGTGACCTCAGTCACTTTTTAAAAGTTACCTGGCTTGTATTCACACTGGAGATATTAGGCAGTTTTATTGCTTTAATCTACAAAGAGAAATTTAATTCTTGTCCTATTTACTTGGTCAAAATTCACACTAAAGCCAAGGCAAATCTTGGTTAGGAAGGATGTAGGCTGTCTCCACTGAGGCAAATGAAAAGGTCAAACACCATACAGCAAAACAAGCCACAAACATAGATTAGAAAGGTTCAACTATGGGCAGAAAAATTCTTCAGAAAGGAAAAACCAGCCTTCATCTCTTAGTCCTCATAAAATAAATACCATGCCGTCTTTGCTGTACAGAACATCCAGAAACAAAAAAGTATGAGAAAAGGGACGAAAAGGAAAAAGTATTTTCACAGGTTGTTTCCAAGCTATTGTTCTGACACAATTAAACTGGAAGGCAGAACACAAGAAGTCTTCTGTGTAATAATATTCTGTAGAGATTTCATCTACTATTCAAATGCATAGCTATCAAAATCATGAAGATGGCAAAACATAAAAAAGCAAAGTGATTCCCTCTGGCATCCTTCACACAACTGCACAGGATATGTCACAGTGTTAGTTGTGTCAGTTGACAAATCCAGTCCTCCCAACCCAAACCAGCAGTGTAGGTACCACTGGTTGTCAGGATCCAGCTCACACTGACCTAAATATTAGTACCCCAAAAATGTACATCCTCAGATCTCCTGATCTTAAATGACAACCTAATTGTCTCAGAAGGGGGGGATGGGATTCAATATTCTGGGCCTTTGGGGTTGTCAAGACTGAGCAACTCAGTTGTCCCTTTGTGTTCAGTACCTCAGCTTGTTTTTACAACAGGACATAAGTTATTTGCAGGGGAGTAGGAAGAGGTGAGGAACACACCAGCCAGATATAGATAGAACCAGCCAGTTCATCAAACAAAACGATGTTTATTTTCCTGAGGAGTGAAGGCAAGTAAAAAAAAACAAGATTCCCTTTTTACCCCAAATGCCTTGCTTTCCTCATCTTAAGAATTCATTGTCTTTCCATGCATGCGAGCTCAGACCTTCACACACTTCGTAGTATAGAATGTTCTTGGTTCCCACCATCTAGACAAGCATTTAGGTGATCACCAAGGCCTTAAGAGGAACCAAAAAAATCACATCTTCAGCGTGTATCTATTCTTTGGGGTAAGCTAGGAGCAAGCCCTACTCCTGTATTCTGGAAGTTACTTGGTGTTATTTCCACCTCGTTCTACGGTACAAGCTAAAGCTTCTGTGAATGAAAATCCCAGTTCAGTAACTTCAGCAAGACTTCAAGCAGTGTTACTGCTTCTGCATTCCCAGTTCCACAGGTCTTTGTTTTTAGGCTAAAGGTGTTGCTGCCCATGGAGCTCAGTTTGATTTCTTCAACTGGGAGACCAGTTGTGGTTTTCTCCTTCAGCAAACAAGACCGAGCATTTAAAGGTGGCAGGGACTTAACCCCCACCCTGCCCTGTCATGCAGAGAGCTCCAAGTAAAATCAAGGGAAAAGATGTATGTTTAGAGAACAGGACATCAGGGGTTTTACTGCTCATACCATGAACCACTGTAGAACAAATGATGAAACCAACTCCGTAGTAAATTAACAATAAACAAAAGTGTTCAAGCAGATTCAAGCTGGACAAGCCTGTATTACTGAACTGGGATTTCTAAGCACATTACAGCTCTAGAAGATGCATCTGTAACCAATTTTCAAAATACAGAACATTAAAATGCCTTCAAGTGTTTTCATGATAAGCAGCATCCTTAAACATACAACTATTTGATAGTCTGGTCTGCTGTACCACCACAGTGATTTTTGGAGGTTACACATAAACTATTTTTACACAGCTAAAAGATTCTGACAGTTCTGACAGTTCCTCCAATATTTTCGTGGTTGAAAAGAAACCAACCCCCCTCTATTTTGATATTCATTGTACAAGTATTTACCAAAGAATCTTGAGTCCATCAGAAGTTTTGAAATGTGTTTCTATTCCTCTGTGACTTTCTATTTTTGATGAATCGTTTAAATTGAAAGCCCAAATACGTGCCAAAGAGTTGGGACAGCTTAAGGGGAGGAAAGGGGCCAGGGGGAAAATCACTATTGGCAAAGTAGGCACCAATCTATCATCCATTCATTTCAGTAATTTAGATGGAATGAATGGATGTTTTTCTTGGCCGAAGAGAACAGGCTTGGTCCTTTGTCCTCAGCAGGAATGTAGATCATGGAAAAGTACAGGTAAGCACAAAAGGTGGTACCTATGAAAGACTGACATTTTACTCTTGATAGCCAAAACAAGAACCATGCCTTTACTTCCATCAGTTTTTCATTTTAATTTAAAGGAGCCAGCTGCAATATTTTACAAGGAGAAAAAGTTAAAAAACTCATCTGACCAACCACGCACCACATGACAACACTGGCAGACCTAGAAACTGAAACTGAACTAAGGGAATTGTTATTATTTTTTCAAAAGCTTTCTTCACAACTGTGTTTTCTAAGATCTCAGTAAGTGTTTGGCAAGTAAAACAGGATGTCTAATGAAAAGCACTGTAGGGTTAACTATGCTCTATTCACCACTTATTGCTCCTAGCTTTGCATTTGATATGATGGTTAATATACTTGTCTAACAAGTATTGGGAGAAGGAATTAGAGCCCCTAAGACAGGTTTTTGCATCAGCAGTGCAGCTTCTCACACAGGGAAGGAAAGCTACATATAAGACTTGGTAAATGTGTTGTTTGTGAGTAGACTCAAGTAAACTTTGAAAAAAAGAAAAAAGTTCTGTTTTGTTAAGCATAACTTCTGCACAGAACATTAAACAATATGCTAGTACAGATATTTGCATAATTTATTGATTTATGGCTAATATCAAAGGCATCTCTCCACCTACATGGACCGAGCAGTTATTACAGCAGGCTACAGTTATTACAGTAGGATATCTGAATCAGCATTTTCCTTCTGCTTCTGAAAACTTACCCGTTTCCACATTACAATACAAACTGGATCTGGGTCTCTTTTTTTTTTTTTTCCCTTTCAGCCTGACTAGAAAAATCAGTTGAGCCCTGCATTGCTACTGTTGCAGGCTGCAGTGAGGGAGCACAGTGGTGTCTTCTCTCTCTGTAGTGGTTCAGTCACATAACGCAGGGACAGTGTTTCAGTTCTGGGCTCCCATTAACATAAACCAGGTGCTCACATGTGGGTCCTCCCCACAGAGTGGGTCAGGATGGAAGGGACCACAGTGGGTCATCTGGTCCAACCTCCCTGCTCCAGCAGGGTCATCCCAGAGCACATGGCACAGGATTGTGTCCAGACAGTTCTGGAATATCCCCAGTGAGGGAGACTCCACACCCTCTCTGGGCAATCTGTTCAGTGCTCAGTCACTGCACAGCAGAGAAGTTCTTCCTCATGTCCAGGTGGAACTTCCTGGGCATCAGTTCCTGCCCGTTCCTCTTGTGCCATTGCTGGGCCCCCCCAAGCAGAGCCTGGTCCATCCTCTGCCCCCTCCCTGCAGACCCTCCAGACCTGGGGGAGGTCCCCTCTCAGTGTCTGCTCTGGAGGCTGAACAGCCCCAGCTCCCTCAGCCTTTCCTGCTCCCAGAGATCCTCCAGTCCCTTCAGCATCTTTGCATCTTCCTCTGGACCTGCTCCAAGAGCTCCATGTCCCTCCTGTCCTGAGGAGCCCAGACTGGACACAGCCCTGCAGATGTGCCTCGTTAGGGCTGAGCAGAGGGGCAGGATCACTTTCCTGGACCTGCTGGCAGCACTCTTCCTGATGCACTCAAGGATACCAGTGGCCTTCTTGGTCCCCACCTGCACCATTCCCCATCCTCCCTCATCTTCCACAATAAACCACGTGGTTCTCCAAAGCCTTCACGATTAATGTAGCACTGCTTGCATTTGCAGGAGCAACTTCATCATCAGAGAGAAAAAGCGTTTTGGAAAAACAAACGAAAAAAGACCACTGTATTAGTGAACATCCTTTTACACAAGTCACCAGCCATATTTGTACCCTCTAGCACTGCTCTGTAAACAAATGCTCAACTGATGTGCAAGTATCCCAGCAGAGAGGGTCCGGTCTTATATGTACGGTTCTCCCGGAGCACCGTTCAGTTTGCTCTTGCTTTTGTTTCTGGAAAGCAGCTTCCTGCTCAGGATCCGGGACAGGGTGCCTCCCTTCTTGCGGCTCTCCTCTGACAGGGGCTGCTGCAGGTACACGAGGTCGTTGTGGGATTGGCTCATTCCTGGATCCTTCTGATGGTGCTGCCGGCGGAAAAAGAGCTTCGCGCTTTTTTTCAGAATCCCACCTGCGGGAAGGAAAAAAAAAGGACACTTGAGAAAGAACAGGCTGCTTTCCCTCTTGAAGCTCAGCTTCAGTGGCAGCCTGACTAAACAAAGCTGACCTTTGATTTCAGCTTCTAAAGTCAATCCACACATCTTGTGGAAGTTTCCTTCCTTACACACCCTTAGTTCCAGATGCTCTTCTGAAAGCTGCGTTAGTGGTCATACACACATGCACAGCCACTGGTGTGGGTTGTACACTGGGTTCTCACGTGTCCAAGAGGCAGAGCCAATCCTTCCAACCAATAAAGGGAGAAAGTATTTTACAGAAAGAATGGAATAGAGGAGGTAATGTTACTACTCTTTGTTGTTTCAGAGATCAAAGGAGGAAAAGATCGGCCTGTGATACACCACATGAAGGTGGCATTTCAATTTGAGGTGAAAGAGAACAGTACCTGGCATTGAACCTGTGTGCAGTGGGCTCAGAGAAGCCAGGCAGCAGGTGTTCTACATGAATTCAACAGCACCACCCACAGCAACACTCAGGAAGCATTTGCTGTTTTAAAATCCTGTTAGGAATAGCAACTCACTTCAAGCAAATTAAAAATAATATTACATCTGCTTCCAACAGGTTCAGCAATCCGCCCAAACCCCTTCTGCGGTAAATTAAGTTGCTGTATTTTGCTGTATTCCTTCCCTTGATCCCATGTCAAAACCCAGCATGCAGCCAAGGCAACTGCAGCTGTCACCTCACCAGGGACTCATGTTGCCAGCACCAGCTACCAGCACTCCTCTCTTTGCAAGCCTGGGTTGTTTTTTGCAGCCGTTCTGCCAAATTCCACCTCCCTTTTCCACGTGTGCACATGTGCCTGACGTGCGAGGCAGCTCGGCTGCAGCTGGCAGGGACACTGCTCCAGGCTACCAGCAACGCTCGACCTGGTGTGGGGACATCAGCTCCACCTTTGAAAGGAAAAGTCTGGTGCAGAATTGGGTGCTGGTGTTGTCCCAGGTGGCAGGAGCCAATTTGAACAGAGGAGGACCCAGGTAGCAAGCCAACACAGGAACCTTCTGGCAGTCAGACCAGTACGTGAGGACAGCCATCTCCCTGGCAAAGCTTCCACACCTTGCTCCCGGCACCACTATCAGGTTTCCTCATTCTTTCTCAGCCTGGCTGTTAATTCCTGTCGCTGCAGGGTCTTGACTCTGCTTTTCCACCCATTGCAGATGGATACAAAAAGCAACACACAGACCAGTTCTTTCATGCAGTGCTGTGCCACAGCTAGAATTACGTGTTTGTCCCCCAAGGAGCCGGCACGGCCCCGTGTCACTTTGCACAGCGACAACTGCAGAACAGGTATTTCATGGCAGCTCTGCTGCACGCAGCCAAACGTTGCTTTGTTCAGACCAGAGCACTTGCAAACATGTGCTTGGGTTTATTACTTTACGGGCTCAGCACCTGGGAGAATATTCCAGCATGTTTTTGTGCCTGCAGGCTGCCCAGACGCTTCTCACAGGGATGAAGCAGAAATCAGCTGAAAGCAACTGGAACTCGTGGATTTGAATCTTGACCGCCCTCCCATCACCCTCTGATCGATCTTTTTGGCAAGGCAGCACCACTTCAAGCTGTTGTCAGCAGCATAAAAGAAGCAGTGTTCAACCCCAGGGCACTGACAGTTGTATTTAATATGCAAGGGCTGGGGGGGATCCACGAGGCCTCGCTGCTGTGCCGCTCTTGTTTGAGCAGGCAGCTGTTCTGCCCAGCAGCCCTGGCAGCTGCAGCTGAAGCTGTACCAGCAGGAGCAGGACAGAAAGGCTTATCCATAAGCAGATATGTAGTCCTCTCCATTCTGTGATTCAGACTGACTTCCCACAGCAGGAGTCAGAACCGAACCAAGAATGCCGTGAAAATGGGTGGCCTGGGACAACTCACTGCAGCCGAAAAATCGTGGGCAGTGCTCCCCCGAGGCTCAGCACAAGCAGCAGTCCCCAAGCATGAAAGCTCCCTGTGTTTTTTGGAGGTGCTGAGGTCATGGCTGTCTGGAAGCTTGCCACATCCCCATCAGTCTGTACCAGTTTGGTGTTTGCTGCCTGGCAGTGGCTCCAGCTGCTGTGGAGACATGCAGCCCTGCCAGGGAGGCAGGGCAGGGCACATCCCCAGCTTGGCAATGCTCGTGCTATTTGCATGCTCACTTCTCGAGTCCAACAGGATCCATATGCCAGCTCTGCCCCTAACACCAGGAGATGAGCAGAGAGCTTACTGTATGAGCTGGCTGGGCTACACAGGCTCCTCTGCACTAGTTCAGGGTGTGCTGAAAATGCTTGTGATCACTTCTGAATGTCACTTTTGTTAATCAAGGAAGATTTCCTTTCACATCTACAAGGGTATGAATAGAGATTGCTTTCCATTCCTTCCCAACTTCCAAAACAGCTTTTATACAGGTGGTTCTGCAGATACCTGCTGAGGCCTTGGTAGCTCTGCAAGTTAGGGTAGAAAAGCTTTACCTAGAAAACTGTAAACAGTAAGGTTTTTGCCCATGTATATCCTGTTATGGGGTCACACGTGGTTTGCATGAGCAGAGTTTGATTGATTATCAGATGTTACAGGAATGGGCATGATGGAGAGAGAAATCTCAGCCTTCCTTGCTGAGATTTCTTTGTGACCCACCTGAACAGCATGACCACCAGAAGAATAATTTGCTACAGCAGACTAATCTGCTGAGACACTTGAGCACAGGAAGGTAATTTTGGAAGGAGGAAAGAAGTGGATGGGGGAAGAAGAAAACAGGTGCCAAACTATGTTTTGCTTCGGTTTTTACAATGAGTGTCCCATTGTAAAGCTACATTTTCTTAGGGAAAAAAAAATACACAAAACCAACTTACTGTGTGGGTAATTAATTCTGGCTGGCATAGTAGTCCTCTTAAGTTTATAAAAGGGAATGGGTAAGAAAGAGGAAGTCAGAAAGGTAAAAAAAACCACCAAACAAAAATATGCAAGAGTAAAAAAAAAAAAACCAGTGCTAACCTTAAGACATTAGTACAGATACAAGGCTTTTTAAAGCAGAAGGGGTTTTGTTGGCTTTCAGTTTTGTTTGGGCTTTTTGTTGTTGTGTTAGGGGTTTTATATGTTTGTGGGGTTTTGTTGTTTGTTTTTTTTTTAAGGGAAAGCATTTGACAAACAGAAACCTTGAACTGTTCACAGCTAACTGAAGGCAGGGGGGTGGGAATGTTTTCCTATCTTACTCCACAAAAGCTACTCAGCTGTGACAAAGCGAAGATTCAAGACTTCCACAAAGACATCTGTGTATAAAGAAAGGGATTTGAGCCAGTTTTCTTAAAGTATTATTTTAAGATGATACAACTCTCTCAAATTAGAGATACTTTGCAGTTTTTAGCGGCCTTACACTGCATTGTGTGAAAAGGCTCTTTAGAAGGCTGATCTCTTTGCAACACACAGCACAGGGAAAACCAGAACTAGACAACAGCTCACACACAAACTTGCAGTTGCTTGTTTTAGAATAACAAAAGAAGAGCCCAGAGGTTTTGCAATCTCTCCTACAGCTTCTTAAACTCTTCCAGGCTCCAAAATGAGACAAATCTCTTCACAACTAACCCGCTACCCTCACCCCAAACACACCCGAAACCTTCCAGTGCCTGACCATGTACGTGACACGGATTGTTGCTGTGCCACCCTGATCTCTCATGTGGAGCAATACAGCTGTGGGAAGGCCAGAGAAACTCGAGGCTCTAAGGGAGGGCCCTGACAAAGGGCTCCAGTGTCTGCCCTGCGTGGGGGGGCTTGTGATAATCAAGTGAAATAGTGAGGTTTTGTAGTGAGGATCTCTGGGCAAGGAAGGAACAGAAAATAATAAAGCAAAAGGGGGATGGATGTGGGTGAAAAACAGTATTTTTTTCAAGTTCAAGGTGCAGCCCATGAGACTGGTGTGTGCCTGTTCAGAGCACAGTCCACTGCACTGGCCCTTGTGTCAGACATCCTAACAGTCCTAATACCACATAGCCACAAACCAATGCTCAGAGGTTAATGGATTTATCAAGGAAACACAAAGAATCCTAAGACACTTTCAAACTGCAGCTATTCAGGTGTGTAACTACCTAAGCAAAATGATCTGATGCTTTATTTACTTACTAAATTACCTTTTATTCCATTTTCTTTAGCAAACTACATATTAGTGAAATCAGTGAAAAAGGGAGAAACTGTTCACAAGGCAGCTTCTGCTTCAGCAGCTTCCTGAACACACACTTTAGTGAGGGGAGTCCTGAGCTCAGAGGTGTGAAGGAGGAGAAGGAATGTGTAAAAAGCAACTGTGAGCCCTGCCATTTTCATGTTAGTAATGGGGCTGCCCTTCTGTTTCCTGACTGAGGGCAGCGTAAGAGAGCCTGAGCTGGCTCAGAGAGCAGTGGACTGCACCCTTTGTGCTGCTGGTGAGACAGCTTCAACCAACACCACAGTCACGTGGAGTTGAAGGACAAAAAAAATTCAGCAAGAAAGGATGAACTACTACAGCACTGCCTGAGTGCCAATTACGCAGAGACAGCAGCCAGTCACTGAGGTGGAAAGTAAGGATCACGTACCTTTGGATTTTTTCATGCTCCCACTTTCTGAAACGCTCAGTGAGCTCCCAGATATTTCTTCAGAGGTCTGGTCTAAGAGGGTGCTGGTGTCCCACTGTTGGCTGCCGTTCTCCAGACCCCAGGCCTTCTGGGTGCTGTGCTGTGGGCCGGTGTCAGGTACTGTTTCTGAGGGACCCAGTGACAGCTTTTCATCAGGGGTGGTTTTTCCAACAGCTTCCTCCACAGGGGGTGGATCTGCTTCTTTGCAGGAGCTGTCCATGGCTGCAGCATAGTCCATCATGAGTGAAGCTTCACTGTCCTGAGATAAAGAGGTCTGCCCAGTGGAAATAAGAGACAACACTGATAGAAGCCATTCTGCTGGAGGAAAGCAAGACTCCCTGCAAAAGTTATTTTCTCCTCTTTACACTTGTATTGCTCAGGACTATCAGGTAAAGACCCTTTAAGCTTCCTTAGCTTTACTAAAGAAGCAAGTAGCCAAGTTTTAATCATGTCGTTAAGGCCATATAAATGAAAAAAAAAAAAAATTAAGTACGTGACCCTCACCTATCCCTGGCCCCACTACAAACAATAGGACTCTTTCCTGCATGTGCTGCTCTAATGAAGTATCAGCATACACAGAGAATCTTTTGGTCCTTTTAAGAAAAGAAACATCAAATCATTTCATCTTATAGAAGGATTTGTCAGCTGTATCAGCTAGAACCAAATCCAAGAAGTCCCAGTGCCTTCATTTCCCAGGCAGATACATCTGGCACTGTGGCTGCTGATCCACATTTTCCCCCTCATCACAGCACAGTGATGATGAGGGGACCCATGCCCACTGATCTGACTTTCACTCAGAGCTCTTTAGAGGTCCTGTGCCCAACAGCAACACTGGACAGCACAAATCCATGGAACAACCTGCAGGGAAAGGACTACAGGCAGGCACCAGCCATCAAATAGGACACTGAGGCTGTGGACAAAGAAAGTCTGGAGGAATGCTATATACCATGTGAAAACCAGTCTTCTGTTTGCCCTCCCTCTGGAACAGAGCCCAGGAGGTTTTCCAGAGGGTTTTGTTTTAACAGTTTTGAACAAAAAAAAAAAAATAGAGAAATCTTTTTCTGTGCATCTTCCCTACATGGGTGAAACACAGTGAAGGACTGATTATCTTCTGTTCTCACCCATATTTGTTTTCCCAAATCCCTAATCATTCCACTCCCATCCAAGCACACCTTGCATTTTAGTCAGGCTGTCAAAACTAACAATCAAAACCCTGATTTGGCTTAACTTGAAACAGTTACAGAAACAACCTGGCACGCAGACCTGGATTCTGCAGAGACAGCAGAACCCACGTTAATGCCACAGTCAGTGGAGCAAAGGCTTTTTCTAACATAATAATGTAAGGGTTGTTTTCTGCTCTACCTTGGACACCCCTGATATGATAATGGTGCTTTTCTTTCTAGGAGACTTCAGCTTCTGCTTCGCAGACTCGCTCAGCTGCCGAATGGCTGCTTCTGCCACAGGATCTGTGCCATTCAGTACCAGCAGCTCTGGAAAGAAAGGATTATTTCAGAGGGGAGAAAGGAAAAAAAAGAGGAAAAAACAGAGCAAAGAGAGGCAGAGTTTGTTCTTGACTTAAAATTCACAGAAATTGGCAGAAATGGTACAAACACCAGGCACACCAAAACATCTTCCAGTTCACCACCCGGCGATCAGGTCTTGTCTTTCCCTCCCATAACCCTTTCTTTGGAGAAAAGGTACTGAAGCTGCACTTACAAACCCTCTCCCTGAGCACAAAGGAGTTTTTCTGGAAGCCTAGACAACACATCAAATTATTTCAGTGCAGTGCTACACTGTGATGACAGTGGTGAGAACATCAGGTATCAAAGTCACTAAGAACATGGTGCAAAGCTGGTGCATGATACTGCTTCCTCAGGTAGCTATTTTGCTCTTTTTCCAAACATCCTTGCTCAGCATTTCCAAATTTGCTGTGGCACTTTGATAGGATGGGGAGGGCAAAGTGTCAGTCACTCTGCTCTTCATCAGCTGCCTCCAAAGCCTATAAAGTGCACCCCCCCTTTCTCCCCTCCAAACATTGCACAGGAACGTAAAACCTTCTTTATAAAATGCTCTTTAGTGACAAACACATTTATTTTTAAGCATGGCCAATTCTGGCATCTGGTAATGCAAAGTACTTTGGGCACAGCAAACACACACTGATAATTCATCAAGCTGAGGAACAAACAAGGCAAAGAAAGTCAGCAAGACAAAAATCCCCATATTTGATTGTCTGAGGTGAGCTTTTCGGCTAAGAGTTTTAACAGCAAAAAAAACAACCCCAAAAACCAGAGGCAGGAATATCACCAGTGTTAATTAAATTGAGCAGTGTCTTTTGTTACTGTGACATTAATGCAATAAAAGATGAGGCCTGGAATTTAAGAGTATGTGTGTGCACAAGGGATGTGCATGTCTGCACACTCATCATAAACCTTTACTTTTCCATCTCCCCAGCCTCTGCAAAGCCCCCAGGAAGAGCTGAGACCATCCAGGCACTTGTTAATTCTCATTACTGTCATCACTTAGAACCATGGCACCGACACAGCACCTTTTCCAGAGTGCTTATTCCAGTTTTGCCACGGTGTTTATGATAACTGTTACCCAAGTTACCGCCATACCAAAAGCTTCTTTGTGTTTCTTTCATTTGGCTTAACCTTTCCTTCTAATGAGTAATTCTTCCTGCTGTACTGTATAAACATTTCACAGAAATTCCCCTGCACTCCCATTAAAAACACTGTCTGTACCATTAGGGTCTAAGCTGCCTTCAGATGAGTTTTCCAGTAAGTGTTTTGTATCTTTAATATAAATGCTTAAGGGAGTCAACTCAGAAGTACTGCACTATCTCAATATTTCCCAAATTGAGGCAGTAATATTCCACATTGCTTCATGGTATCACAGCACTTGTTAGCCTGGAGGTGGGAAAAGATTCAAGTGCTATTACAGCTATTCATGGTTAGTGCTTCATGCTCTTCCCCATATTTGTTGGCCCCATTTCTGTCTCTCAGCAAACCTTCTGACTCTGCCAGGAGCAGTGTAGATCATCTCCAGATTGTCCCATCTCCACTGAAATCCCTACAGAGCAATCTTAACTCCACATTATGTGTCACTGGCAGCCAGACTGGGTCATGTCTTTTATTCCTGCTGCCCACAGAGCTACTGAAAGACTCAGTGGTGACCACACACAGGACTGAAGAAGATGCAGAAGATTCAGAGTTGCAGCTTGCAAGGGTAAAACAACCCAGAGCCAAGATCAGACTTAATACAATTCAAAGTGAATTTATAATTAAAGTTATTATCAATGCCACCTGCCACTGTGCAGGCACCTGTATGCCAGGTGACTTAGGAAGGTGGACAAACAGGCACAGCAAGATTGGGTATTTGCACTAGCCCCAAAAAAAGCCCAGGATTAAGGCTAGGAAGAGAATTCAGTCTTCCTTACATCAGTCCAACCCCTGTGTTCTCTTCAGACAGAGGGGACTTCACAATGGCCTTAAGAGGTTCTTGTCACAGGGTTTTGATTTTGTGCAGCATCCCCCATGCCTTTATGAAAGGAGGAATCTTTCACTAAAAAGTAAAAGAAAACACAGCCTGGCTTTTCTGCAGTCACCTCCCCTCTCCAAACCACAGCTCATTGTTATTTATTCAAAACCAGTAATTTAAATTGCCAATGAAAAACAGACTTTTACTGCAGGACTGCCATAGCCCTTAACCACAGTGCTTTGTAACATAAACATCTCAGTGCTGTTGACAGGCAGCAGCCATATGGGTTGGCTGTTATTTTAACAGGATCACATTAATCCCACGTGCAGCAGAGAGAGACATGTCCTCATTAGCACCTTTGAATATTTCAGTTACCTGTGTCTGAAGATGACAAAGTTTTGCTGACTGGAGCACCATGAGAATGGAGAGCTTCAACAGAGAGATCCTTTTCAGTCACCTTTACTTTAACTGGAGTTTTCACGGGAGAATCTGAGGACCAAGTTTTTTGGTTATTTGAACTATTTGAGACATTTTTTATGACATTAATAAGAATTTATTATACCTGTTGTGCCTGTTCAAAACGTAAGTGTTTAAGAAAGCTGTTTAATACAAATTCTCAACACATGTTCTATGGTAACCTGACCCCAGAAAGACCTGTGAAGTGTAGGAATTTATTGTTTTTAAACCTTCTACTGTAATATGCTAGATGACACCCTCTTAAGTAAAAGACCTGCTTAAACAACTTAATGCTCATCTTTGTGAGACTTCATATCAAGACTGTTCACGGGTTTTACTTTCATATTTAACCCAAGAAGAATTGGAAAATCTACTTCTAAAAGACATGCTGAAAAGGGCTTTGTCACATACCAACCTTCATTAGACATGATAACACAGATCAAGGTTAGAAGGCACAGGATGGTATGTCATCAGCAAACACCCTGAGAGTCTGATACATTTGACATGTGAAAAACCATCCTCCAAAATCCAGGTCTTCTGCATTATCACCCTACTGTGAAGCTTTACAGTGTGTATTAAAAGAAGCTTTAACTGTTCCTCTTGTAAGAACAAGGTTCCGTGAAAATTAAAAACCTGATTCCAGAGGACAAAAACAGCAACCCCACTCCAACACATCAGAGAACTCTCTCCTTACATCCCACCCCACAGCACTTCTCCCAGGGCCCATGGATAACCCTTGTGAGTGAGCACAGGAAGAACTGGAGCCCCTCACCTGTGCTCAGGGGAGATGCTCTCCCTTCCAGACGAGGTTTGGTTCTCACAGCAGTGACAGTAGTGACCACAGTCCCACAGGGCATCACAGTGCGATCCTTTTCTATCTTGGTGGCCAGCACTGGGGAGGAGACTTGCCTTGTCTTCAGTTCATTGGGTTCTATAAAAGAGAACTAAGGAGACAGAAAAAAAAAAAAGTCACCTTAGAAGCACAGTCAAGCAAGAAGGACAGTATTTCTACCTAGTAGAATGTTTTTGCTGATGCTCAAGAGCCAAACTCAAGAGCTCATTCTTTTGGTGAGACACAAACACTGCACAATCAGAGTGTGCTACTCTGGCTCAGCCACAAGCACAAAATAAGCACTTGCATATATTTCCAGAGGCAAAAGATCCAGCCCAAACCCATCCAAACCCAGCAGTACCTCTGCACTGATGGATCCCAACCCAGGCCCTGGCTCCGAGCTGCCCTCACTGGCCTCACTGTTCAGGGCAAAGCTTTGCTGGCCAGAGGGTTGTTTCCTGAACAAGTCCAGAGGTACAGTCACCTTCCCGGATAAAGGACCTGGAACAAAGAAAATCAACAAAATCAGTGCACACCTAAGCTGTGAGTATGTTTAAGGGAGGGGGGGGGAGATGGGAAAAGGGGAGGAAGAGCACAGGCAGCTAATTCCAGAAACTGGTTCTACACCATGGGGCAGAAACCTGGCACTTTTCACAGTTTTCTTTCCATTTTATGACTATTCCTCAGCCTGGCCTAATACTGTGCAACAGGAAAGAATGGAGAAATTAAATACTACTATTTACTAATATTTACTACTATTTCTGGCCATTGTTTTTCCCTGTGTACGCAGAATGTTTAGGGAAAAAGAAAACAACTAGAAATATTCCTATTAGGTCCTTGAACAATCCCCACAACCAGCTACCTGCATCTTTCATTCCAGAGAACACTCTGGATTCCTGCTAGACTGGTGCATCATTGTCTTTCTCCATTTGAACTTCAGTGCAAGTTCAGCAGTTCTCTTGTTCCTCTCCTGACTTTTTTCAGCTCCACGAGATTTAACAGCAAACTAATAGCAAAAGTACTGCATGATTTCAGAGATGAAATCCTAGTTTTCTGTGAAATTCAAAGACAAGTAGGGAACTACATTATATTCACATTACTCAGCTCTCTGCTTGTTAATATGATTCTACTTTGAGTCTTCTATTCAAATTTTGGGAAGAAGAACAGCTAAGCTGGTATGGGGGGGCAGAGGGGCAGGAAGACAAATGTCAGTGCAATCCACTGGGACCCTTTTCTTCAGGAAAACAGGCTGACAGTCACACCCTCAGTAGGATGTGGAACATTACTGGTGTTGTTTGCAAGATCCATTGTTAAAGATGCTTAGGGACAGGCAAGACTAAACTTTGTGCAAGGAACAACATACAATTGTTGACTCTGTATAGATTCTACTCTATATAGATTTTATTTTTGACTCTATATAGATTCCACGTTTTTGTTAAAAATAAAAAACTGCATCGATATCAGACAAATTTTTTCAAGCTTGTGCCTACATTTAAGTTTCCAATCCCTCCAATAATTGCACATCATATGGAAGGTATCACACAAGTCTGTATATCTAGATTATTAAAAATAATTCTGCAACAACAGAATCAAGCAGCAAAAAGGCTTCAGCCCCCTTTTACATTTAATCCAATATAATCAGAATGAGAATGTTTTATATCTGATAATTTTTAGGCAGCCTCTGGGGCTTGAAAAGGAAGGATTTAGGATTAACACTCAAGATTCCCCTTCAGCCACAGAAAGGCCTCGAAAGCTTAACTTGAAACCAAAAAGGCTCACAGAGGATCTGTTAGAAGTTTGGAAGGCTGAAAAATACAGGATATCAGTACATGGAAGATTCAGTATGTTGAGAGTCTAGAAAGAAACTCAAAAGATTCTCTGTAACCTTAACCCAGAGCAGGACAGAGGCACCTGATCAGTGTATTCTCTCTTCTATCCATAGTTACTGATGGGTGTGACCATCAGTTTGGCCATCCAGAACTAAAAGGGGACTTGTCAACAGTCAGCAAAGCTCACAAGCTGATCATGCAAAGCAATTCAGTCTTAATACTTACTATCCATCTTTCCATCTTCTACTATTTGCAGTTGCAATGCTTTTGATTTGGCACTTAGTTCACTGTGAAGTAAACAAAACCACGTTAGGACTTTGCAGGAAAGCAGATTTTCCTCCCTACTTAGGTTTTTCCCTGTTCCCCAGCTTTTCTCAGCCCTCTCCAACGCCAAGCAAGTGCACCTTGCTGATCAGGGAGGTGGCACTGCCAGGCTGCTGGGCACACAGGTAAGCCTCCCTAAAGGGATCACAGTCCAAAAACCATGGCCTGGTTCCCTCCACCACTGTGGCACAGGTTCAGTCTCCTAAAATTTCAGAGGCTCTTCTTCTCCCCAGCAGCTGACAAACACTGCCCTCCAAGCTGGTGTTGGTCCCTGGTCTGACAATTACACCACAGCACTAAGAAGCTTTTTTTTTTTTTCCCCTGAAGGATCAAATTTGTAAGTCAAGATGCTGGAACAGGTTCTTTCAAAAACCCATTCAAAGCTGTGGGGTTCCCTTGTCAAAGCAGGAAAGTGTCCTGCAAAAACAGGATAGACGCAAGAAAATAAAAGTAATTATAGTTTTAAGTGAGAAGAGTCAGTATCGCTTTTCCAAAATAAGGAAAAGCAACAGGGATGTTGCAAGAATTGATTTCTGTGTGGCAGGAACAGTGTGAACTATTGACAGAATTACTGGCATATGTGGCACTTCACAAGAGGGACCAGACAACAGATACAAAACCTTTCCTCTGACTGAGACAGTTGAAGCAAACTGGGTACCTACTGAGGAACCCTCCAGTAAAACTTTGTTTTATAACCTTCTCAGTGGGTGTTCTGCCAAAAACCCTAAGGGCATATATGTATTTTATTTTGCTATGTCTTTCTGGTTGCAAACATCCCACCTCCATTAGATTCTGTGGGACACCATCTATGCAGCACATTTTAAGCTTTTCCCTGCCACTACCACCCTCTCCTGCACCTCCAAAACTTGAAAGGTAGCACTTTGTTGGTACTCTTGCTGCTTTTGCCACAAAGCTAAAGCAGAGCCTGAAATGGTGTTCAGTACACTGGTCCTCAGAGTGGAGGATATTTTTGGCTGTGAAGAAAGAAAAGGGCAGAGGTGCATGTCCATGAACTTGAATGAAGTTCAGAAAAAATCCTGCCAAAATCCTAATCACTCATCTGTAAAAGTCCCCAGGCTTACCTCATGCACTTCTGAAAAGCAGTGTGGAAACCCCAGCATTATCCCTGGTGTCAAGGCCAAATTCCAGTCAAGTTAATCACATCCTGCCTGCCCTCTGTCTGCACTTTCAGTTAAAAAGGGTATTATTCTTACAAACTTCCTGCCCAAAACTGCTGGGAACCTGTCTGCTCTGCAGCATCCAGCATGGGTGCTGTTCCACCAACAGATGGCTGAAGTGATTCACAGACCCACTGGTGGCTGAAGCACTCTGTGTGATGCTCCAGAACAGAAAGTTGCAACAGAAGGGCAATTCTCCCCTTCTCACCACGGAGAAGAAATCACATCATGTTAATCCTTAAGTCTTAATGGCAACACAGCGCAGTGTCACAGAAGAAGGTGGTCTGGTCTGTGGCTTTCTTCCAAAGCTGTAGCTGCTCATAACTAAAATCAGACCATACAAATTGTTGGTTGAAGGGATAAAGCTTCCTGGATGGTTTTCCACTGAACAGCAGGAACCAGGTGCACACACCTCCATCAGGCCACATAGAAAGGTGGAGGCCTTCCAGTGTTGTTCTACAATATCACTGTTTCTTTGCTAACTACAGTGACTTCTGATCATCATCATCCCCTGCACATGCAGAGGGGTGTTCTCCAAGCCCTGTACAACTTGTGATGACTGGTCAAAGGTGAGGAGGAGCACATCACTCCTCGAGGAAGAGAGCACAGACAGGCACAGGTTCAGCTCCTTGTAACCAAATCTCTGCTTTGCAAGAGAAGGAACAGACCCAGTGGATGCCAGGCTGTGACTAGACAATGAAGAAAAATGTCACACAAAACCATGCAGCATTACTCTCATATAAAAAATTATGTATTTTTTATATATATGTAAAGAAGAATGGAACTGAGATAGAAGAGGGAAGCTACAGAAAGAACCAGAGAGACTCCACTGCATGTGAAGTGCCTCTCACCTTAATAATCTGGTAGAAAAAATAAGAAAGCAGTGTCTGCAGTATGTTGTATGGCAGCATACACAATTCTACACAATTCCCTTGGAAAGCTGCTTCTGCCTGACTGTGCATGTGCTTTAAGCCACTAAAGGAACATCCTCTGACCTACCCTGCCATCAGTGATTCCTCCTTCCTAAACTCGTACATACAGAAGCTACCAGGTATTTTTGCTCTGCTGTTCAAAAGTGAAAATGAAAATAGCTTTAGAACTGCTCCCTTTTGACCTTATTTACAGCAGCTGTGTGAATCACAGAACACCGTGTAGGCTGCCCAAAAGTCCCATTTTTGCTCTACAGGAATAAAAAAAGCTAGTTAAGTTTTACTCTCCCTTTTTAGTCACAGCCACCATTCTTTCAGACGGTCAATCGTTTTTGCACATTTACTTTTTCCACTCAGGGGAGTGAATGGAGAGACATTACATTCCCTCAAAAGCAGTTTTCAAGGTAAAGTGACTTCAAAACCTTGCTAACACTTTGGTTTGGCACTGTATGAAAGCACAGGGTGATTTATTATGCCTGTTACTGCTGTCATTTACTAGAATCTGATATCTGCCACGGATGATCTAGAGACCTACTTGATCTCATGTCCATGCAGAGGGTAATTAGATATCCTGAAGTCCTCATCAGCTCCAGATTTCTCTGAGGCCACCCAACTGCTTGTATTTCCAAATGCCACTCTTCCCTCATACAGTTCAAGTACAAAAAGATGCTTTACTGCAAAAGTATTCTCAGTAGGTAAGTTACTTACAAGATAAACTCTTCCTTCCAAAAGGGATGTGCAGCATTTTTGGCTACAGAGCTGGAAAACTTCTGCATAGGGTCATTCAACTGAACTATACACACAAGGTCTGTGCTGCCTGTGAGGGCAAGAAAAACCAAGCCATTAATACTCCACCAGCAAGAGGCCACTTACCCAAAAGAAAGCAAAGAACCCCTTTCATTGTATCCTGCACTTCAGAACAGACTGTTGCAAACACTTTCTCACCCTCCCACAGAATAAATTCCCTCCCTTGGTTTGTACAGCGACAACATTAATGGCAAAGGTCAACATTGCATCACCAGTGTCTTATGTGCTGCTCTACACAGTGTGAAACATGACAACCCAATTTAAGCAAGAAAGTGAAGCCATAAAGAGATCAAAAAGGGTGGGGAGACAGCACGGTGAGGAGGTGGCGGTGTGGGTGCGAGGCAGGGAGGGAGCAAAGTTGCCTCCAGCTGCCTTAAGAAACCCAGAAGTTTTTAAAGTCCCTACTGACCACAGTCACAGCGGTTTATTTGGACATGGAAACAAGCTTTCTCTGCTGGCAAGTGACTGATGACAGCAGTGCTAATTCACAACGGCTCTGTGGACTGCGGTTTTTAACAAGTTCGTGGCATTTTAAAGCACTGCTGCAGCCTTATCTCTGCCTTGATCTTGGAATTTGATAGTGTGGCAAATTGGCGTATTAGAGTAGTCATATTGCTGCTCCAAGGGGGGAAATAGTTTGCAAAATGTGTTGCTCATAAAACAACTTCTTTTGTAAGGCTTTCACAGCCTCGGAAAAAAATTTCAGACCCAGAGTTCCAAAATATCAAGGAAAGCGACAAAAAAAGCTCAGTACTAACTGCATGCAAAGCAAACAAAAGATGCTGCCTCCAGTTCTCCAGAATATTTACTGGTTTATATTTACTATCATCAGCTCTCAGCTGTCCTCTGCTGATGACTCAGGGCTGTGGATCATCCCTGTCTCAGGCACAGAGGCAGCTTGGGCCTGGCAAGGTTATTAGAGGAGACAGAGCACTGCGTACACGCAGCTTATTTGGGATCCAAGCTGACCCTGGAGTAAGTAGTTGAGCTGCTTTCCCAGTGAGCTGAGCCTGAGTTAATGAACCTGGGGTGGTTTCTGCTCACCCAGCCATATGTCCCTGCAGCCTGTCCTGTGCTCAGCAGCCCAGGGCAGAAAGACCTGCACAGCTCTGCCTGAAACTACAACCAGAGCCACTCACTGATCATACTCAGCAGGGGACTGCAGCATATCTGCCCTGCACACCCTGGTGTAAACAACCAACAACTTCTTCCTTAACAGCAGAAATCACTTTTGCCCTAGATGATTCCCTGTGGACTATGCAGTACAAAATCCGGGGTAATCTTTGTTTACATACACAAACCGAGGAGATAAAAATGGGCACAGCCCATAAGCAGAGACCAGTTCTGCTACTGGTTATTCACCAGTTGAACTAACACATCAACAGCAGAGCCACAAGCTCCTATGAACCATGTTAGCATCCATGGTTTATGATAAATCATACTTGGTTTATGATCATTATCATGGATGATAAATGGTCAAGACAGACAAACTGCCCCTCTCCAACCCTCCATGTACCTATGCAGGTTGGCCTGAAATACTGCACACTCTTATGGGGTCTCAGAGTTCCAAGAGGATAATGAATTATGGCAAGATAAGGACAGGAAAATGGAAAGGATCAATAATTAAAAGGCAGCAAGCTATGTCCAGCAGATAGCACCTTTCCAGCTGTGCAGTATTTCCACTGGATTTCAAGTGTACCAGTTAAACCACGGTGTGAAGTTTTGCTTCTCATACTCAGTTCCAAATGTTTACACTCCCAGAGTTGCTAAGGAACCAGAAAAATTCCCTCCATCTCCTTTGACAATAGCAAATGGGGATTTTGCCTCCCAACATCTGTGTTCCCAGAACAGAGCACATTCATTGCCCACCCTTCCTCTCATTTTCAGGGAAGGTGTAGAGAGGTTTCTCATAAGGTCAGTCTTCTATTCTATGCACTGTATGCACATAAAGGTATCTCATCTCATGGCTTTTAAATGCAGTCAAAATGACTTGCTCTTTTGGAAAGCTTAATTTGCACTACAAAATTGTACAGTAATAACAAATCACAGAATCATAAAATGGTTTGGGTTGGAAGGGATCTTAAAGATCATCTTGTTCCAACCCCCCTGCCATTGGCAGGGACACTTGCCACTAGACCAGGTTGCAGTTTCCAGCACAGTTTTATTTATAGAGGACATTTCACAGCACAGAGTTCCAGAACTGCTTTAAAAATAATTTGTTTTTAAAAGAAAAAACAGCCTGCAGAAATTTTTAGGCGAATCACTTCCAATCAGGATAAGCAAAGCAGCATTATGCAAGAGTCTAGGGCAGAAACCTATTACGTCTAACTGAAAAAAGGAGTACAGCAAGTAGGATATATTTATCCAAAACTTGTGCCCTGCCTAATTTAGCAGCCAAAAGCTTCCATTAAAAAGACTGTTACAGAACTGTTTAGTGACTGTAAATAACAGAGCCTCAAATTCGTATTTCTGCTGACAAAACCTGAAATGTTCCTCCTCGTGCCTCAGTCAGCAACAGAGGCCTGACTGCACCTGGAGAAGTCTGAGTACTTGTAAGACAGGCTTGGTGCTACTTTGCAAAACCAATACAGTAACTTCACTAGGCAGTGACCTCCTTTCTGGCTTCAGTCTCCACTTGCAAGAGGTACTGCCTCCCCTACCTCCAGAGGTACTTCCTTAGGGGGAGAAATCCTGACAAAAAAAGATCACCTCTGAAGAGTTTACACAGAGGAGGAGAGTTTCAGATGAACCAGAAAATTGCTCAGAAGAAAAGCAGCTGTAAAAATAAGATAACACTGAATCAAACCAATGTCACTGCCAACAGTATAAGCCAAAACCTGCACAAGCAGGACTAAGTCAGCACTGGCACCAGTTGCCCAGAGAAGCTGTGGATGCCCCGCTCCTGGAAGTGTTCCAGGCCAGGTTGGATGGGGCTTGGTCCAGTGGAAGGCTTAAACTGGAAGAGAGTAGGTTTAGATTAGATATTATGAAGAAATTCTTTGCTGGGAGGGTGATAAGGCACTGGAACAGGTTTCCCATAGAAGTTATGGCTGTCCCATCCCTGGAAGTGTTCAAGGCCAGGTTTGATGGGGCTCTGAGCAACCTGGTCTAGTGGAAGGTGTCCCTGCCCGTGGCAGGAGGGTTGGAACAGGATGATCTTTAAGGTCCCTTCCAACTCAAACCATACTATGATCCCATTAAGTCTGTTTCTCAGAGTAAAGCAATTCCCTTTTGAGAGAAGATTGTAACCCAGAACTTCCAAATTATTTTGCCCAAAAGTAAAAAAAAAACCCACCAAACAATCCAACCCTGCCTGAACACGAGCAGCACCTCACGGGCTGCGTTACCTGCAGCACGGTGATGGGTCGGGTTTACCGCGATGTTCTTCACCAGCAGCTTGAGTTCATGAGCCCTTGGAGGTTTGGGAGGACTAGTGGCCTGAGGGAGAAGGCTTGTGTTCTGTACATTCTGCAAAAGGCAAGCAGAACAAGAGGGATTGTGTACGTGAAAGCACCATGGGCTTGTGTCACACTGATGTAGGGGAACAGAGACGAGACCGGGTGTAACACCAACAGAGAGCCACAGGGGCGATGTGATCACAGAGCCCTCCTGCCAAAGGCTACGTTGTTTCGAAAAATCTCCTCCAGTTGTTTCTGATCACCCAACAGTCTTAAACTTACTCATTTGTGAGCCGTGGATATGTAACAAAAACACTGAACAGAAGGACGCTTCTCAAAGGATTTTGGCAGGAGCCAGACTTACCTGAACCTCCTTTGTATCTGCAGGCCTCACACTCAACACCACAGATGGAGAAGCTGAGCTAAAGAGGTTCTTCAAGACATCTCTGAGCGTTTCAGGTATTGCACGTGTCCCTGCTGCCTGTCCCTAGGAGGAAACAAACAATCAGGCTTCTCAAAACTCAGAAGAAGGTAAGGCAAAATTAAATTTGGTGTACCTAAACCACCAAAGCTATCAAACATTAACTCTGTCAGAGTTTCTGTTGCCAACAACAGAATTTAACAAGAGATCATGCAAAGAATTACTTAAATTTCTATATTGTGCATTAAAGAAAAACTAGAATTAAACAGTTAAACTAGAATTAAAAGTCACATGCTGTTCTGAGAGCTGTGAAGACTATTAGCCACAAAACCAGAAGTTTCACTAACAGCTTTTATCTTATGATGGGTGTTTTAAAGATTGTGTGCTGCTCTGCACTCCACTGAGGGAGCAGATCAGGTCATCAGATAAGCAGATCGGCACCGTTCCACAGATTTAATGGGAGTTATGCCAGCCTGCAGCAGCTGAGGAGAAACTAATCCTGTGCTGCACTGACAAAAAAAATATTACAGCATCTCCTGGAGGTCTTCAGCCTTGCTGAAAAAGTGCACTGCAAGGACAGGTAGTCGTGATGCTCTGGGGGACTGGCTCGTGAGTTTGCCCATTCAAAAAAATCTCATGGCTGTCTGTGCTTAGCACCACAATCTCTGAGGGATCAGAACAGACCACAGATTTTGATTACACACGTAGCTTCACCATTGCTATGATAAGGTGTATGAAGACAGTGACCTGCCCCTGCCCTTTCTGTGTTCCAGGAGAATGCCTGCTTCCCTCCTCAGGAATTTTCTTCTGCTCAGCTGCCTACAGGGAGTAGATTTTTAAATTGAGCTTCCCCAGAAGGGACAGTCTGACACCCAACAGCTCTTAAGGTAGCACAGGAGAAATCTCAGTGAGGTTTCTCACTGAAAAAGATTGAAGTAGGAGACAAACATCTGACCTAAAAACAGAGGACTCATCCATCTTTTCCCATCTGATACCACACCGGGAGACTTTACTGTTGTGAGGTTACACAAGAGGCCAAACAGATTTGGAGTAACAGCCCTTCCCCAATTACCCAAGTTTTACAGAAACATTTAGGGTGTTTCACAAAAATCCCAGGAATGCCGTGTACAGAATTCCTGTTTTACTACTGCCTTCTTACCCAACTGGCCTTTGATGACAGGTTCAAAACAAACATACAACAGCATGGGCCAGTCCCACAGAAACCCTGCTGTACTCATACCAAGCTCCCTCAAACAACTGCCAAGGAAAGAAGCACCCCTGCAACTTGCAGAGAATACTTGTCTACTTTAAAAAAGATTTAAGTAAATTAGGCTGTTTAAAGCAATTTCCTTTTCAGCAATTTCATTATTTAAGTTATTTAAATAAGCAGATAAACTGTGGTTAGTCCTCGCTGTTTTGGAGGTAATTTCCCTCCCCTGCCTTTACCTTAACGCTGCTTGATGAACAAATCAAATTCTAAAATCCCAGTTGCCACCTGCTTTGCCATCAACCTTCTCTGACATTTGTTATTTAAAAGAAACATCAACAACCACAGTCAATGGACTTCTAATCATAGGTATTTTCTGTTGTTTCCATAGTTACTTGGAAAAGAGATCAATTAAAGAGCCTCCTGTCAGCCCAACCTCATTTTTAGCCATCCTTAGTCAGAAAGTCATGCTCCACCACGACACCCTCGACAGGGTAAGCCCAAAATGATGAAGTCAACAGGTTTCACTTTGGGTTTGACATGGGCTAGGGGTGCACAGCCAGTCACCACAGCCAGCTTGGGGCACACCAGCACACCAAGTCACCAGATGCAAACCCAAGCCCTACGAGTCAGCCAGGTTGCCAAACACAGCTCAGGTTCACCCAGCCATTATCAAAAGAAAATGGGTTGCTATACCCAGCCTGTGTGATGACAAAACCACTGTGTAGATAATCACAAGTAATTACAGGTATTTATTTGTACACACGATCTCACTTCCAAAAGAGGAAAAAAAAAACCAGGACACAAAAGCTGACGCTTAAGTTTAGGAGCTGAAGCAATTTCTGAGGTGTAGGTTGCTCACAGGTTTTAGATCTTTGTTTATTGCCTCCCCTCTTCCCTGAGTGCTAATAGAAACTTCAAAGGGAAAATAAAGCCTTTAACTATTAAGAACTTAACAGGCTCATTCTAAAAACGTGGGCGAAGCATAACAAGTTGCAACCTTGCAACCAACGCTGGACTTGGGCACCTCTCAAAAAGCTGGTTGTGAAGTCCACAGTGACTGTAGAGTCATCTGTGTTTGTCAGGAATAATTTAATGACTGTTCAATATGTGGATAATCAGCAGGTCACCCCAGCACGTGAGGGTCATTTACACTGCTACGTGTGCACAGTAAAATCTACATTAAAGCACACTTCAAAAGACTTGTCTGTCTTTAGTTATGAGTTTCACATATTTGTGTACAAAAGCTGTGGTAATAAATTAGGGCATTCAGTACAGGGCTTTAGAAGCAGCTCTACAATAAACCTATTTTTTAACAAGGCCTTCAGTCTGAAAAGCAACTTCACAAAACACAAGCAAGTCTTCACCCTCTGTTGTAAGAAAGGTTTACGTCACCACATTTATGCCAAAAAAATATAATTGTGAAGGGTCAAAGGCAGAAGAGAATCTCAGTCACGAAGAAACTCTTTCAGGGGATGTCCCAGTAAAACAATCCCCAACAAATCAGTTGTTTATATACAAAGATAAGATGCAATTCCAAAAGCATCAAAATATTTTTAGATCGTCCATCATTTCCTTAAACAACTGTATTTTTTCACAGCAATTTCTGAACCATCGCTGCCAGATTTCAAAACTGGTTTAAATTAAGGAAAGGAGCAACTTTGCAATTGCTTTGATGGGGATACCATTACAACTGGCTTTTTTAATTATTTTGGAAGTGCTCAGAGAGAAGGTATTTAGGAACAGACGTTTTTCACGCTTTTGAATTTGGACAAAAAATGTTTGCAAAGTTATTTGTCCATCAAATACAGACTTGACTTATCTCTAATGCCTCAGTAATCTCTAGAGATGATCCCAGATTTCAGAGATGGAGGGGTTTGGTGACTGAGCCATGGCAGAGGCTTTACACTACACTTTGGACCGAAGGGACGGAGAACTGTTTTCTCTACCACTACAACAAATAAAACTTACTGACTGACCTCCTGCACTGCTGGCTGGATTTCAAAGTTGATTTCATTGGTGTTAATGAGGAACCACTCAATTTTGACATCTTCTCCTTTGTCTTTCACGGAGAGCTGGAGCTGTGGATAAAACCAGTTATTGGAGAGTGTCCTGATGTCGAGAAATTGCAGGCCAAGCCCCATATTAAGGCTTGACAAAGGAAGAATGTTATAAGTAACTTCAAAGTGACAATCCAAGAAGGCAGAAGGTGCTTAATCTTTGTGAGTGCATGCCAGTCAAGAAAGGGAACTGTTCTATACATCTGACTACTCTACCCAACGTGTTATTTATCCGTAATTTATGAATTTACCACTTGCCCCAGAGGGAAAGTGTAACGTTACTAAATGTTTTACCAGAGTTAACACAAGTGAATACGCAGTTTGCAAACAGCTGCAGGATGAAATGTAACAAAACAAAGGGAAGAGGGAGGAACCCTTTACCTGCAAGTGAAGTGGAGACAGTTTCACACTGTAGGACTGAGGTTCGGCAGCCGCGGGCGAAGGGTCAGAGACGGCGACAACAAACCTTACAGAACCTCCCACAACATTGCAAGAAACCACCTAAAGGAGTAAAAAGGGCGAGGGGAAACAAAGGAAGAGAAAAACAAGTTATTCTTCAGAAGGTTTGGTGAAAGCAAGAAAGGAACTAAGGAAGGACTTTAGGCTATCAGAACTATGCCAAATTCCACAGGTGGGAAATTCCCGAGCAATTTCATGAATGTTCCTGCCTCCTTCTGTACGTTCTTCTAAAAAGATGTAGTTCCAGTGTTCAGTTCTGCACATGAAATTTAATGCTTGCAAATTATGGTGTTTCTCAAAATTTCTTTTGTATTATTACCTAATTCAAAAGTAACTCCTCACCTGACAAAGACTCCTTTCACTTTCATATATCTAGATATTAAAAGCTCAAAGAGGCAATTTTGCATAAGGGAGACAAAGATGTTTGTTCTTCTTCCTCTTCTGCTCAGAACTAAGTAGCCTGACACAGGACAGCTGGTTTTACCAAACAATCTTTAGTTTAGTGGTATCCTACGAATGTGAAACTTTGGCATAACCCTGCTGCTACAGAAGAGGATTTTGCCTGAGTAATACCAGTTCCCAGGGGGATGGGAAAGAACAGGAGCCTTCAAAAGTTTATTCAAGCCTTTGGCCAAACCAAGAAAAGTCCTGAAATTTGGTGACAAAACTAAACATCTGGGAAAACTCTGTATGCCACCAGACTGTGACAGACTTTGTTGAGTCCACTCCCTCACTTTTACGAGCAGTAATTTAACTTGTTATCACACTGAGTTTACAAACACCAAATAGTTTTTCCTCTCTCTCCTCTCCAAAGTGACTGGAGTGCTGGAGCTGCCAGGCAAAATTCCTGGAGTGTGCAGGCTGGCGGCACAGGAAAAGCCCCCAAGGACAGAAGTCAGAAAACATTCATTACACCACAGAGACACGATCACTTTGCAACCAGACCTGCTGGCTGGAGACATCTGCTTGTCACTGTCCCTCCTCCGTGGTTACTGTCCCCACAGCTCCACTGGAAAGGACAGCTGAGCCCTCCTTAGACTGACTCAGGAGAAGGTAATCAGGTCAATGCAATGCGCAGACAAATTAACTCGCTGCGAGATCTGTCTGACAGAAACTCTGCATGATGCTATTAAACTGTGTTTGTGCACTCACTGCTCCACTTATGGGCACTGGAATTGAAGCTGAAGGCTTTAAAGTGAATCATTGTTCCTTCTGGAAGATCCTTATCGGCCTCTCCTTAAATATATTTCATCTCCCTGGGCTCTCTAGGGCACGTTTTAAGGATGACCAGAGCATTATCAAGGGTTTCAGAGAACATCCATTAAGGTAGAGACTTAATTACAAAGGAGCAGGGGGTGGGGGGGGGCAAAGATGACAAATAAAAATCCCAACCACACCCACAAGCAACAAGATTTGCCTTTTCAGGTTTGTGTTCTGCAAATTATAGTTTAGAAGTGGACAAACAGAGAGAGCTCACCTCTCCCCTTTCCCAAAGTCTAAATTCCCTCAGAAGTGATTTCTGACAGTAATCCCACACAATCAACATGAACACCCGCTATTATGGTAATATATAAAAGATTTTAAGGTATTTTTAATAGCTAACAGGAATGAAGAGCTCAACTGCTTATTTCACTTGTAGCTGAGTTGAAACACAGAATCACTCCATTCGTGAGGGCCTGACATGGTGGCTCTTGGAACACCTCAAAAATAAACAGGTTCTTCCCTCTTTTTAGAGGGAAGAGGAGCAAAAAGGACAGGCCTGATGCAAAAGCTCCTGGCACTTGCATGTCCTAAATGCAGTGGTTTATCATCCATGCACATTTCATCCACACATCCACAGGAAGTTCAGTGCATGCAAAACAAGTTGGACTTGCTGCACATGTGATGCAGAGCCAATCATCTGGAATTTCTGGATGTCCAGGAGCCAAGCTTGCCAGGTATGTGGTTGATTAATGCTTTAAAAAAAAAAAAGTGTGGCCAGAGAGTTTATGTGCCACTTGTTTGTTAATCATGTTTAATTCCAAGTAAAGCATGGAAACAGACAATGCAGGTGGTGAAACTTTCATTCTTCTTTCTACACTTTGTCAAGAGATGCTGAACTATTTTTTAAAAATATTTTTACCTTTAGCTTCAAAGCCCAAACCAGTACAGTTTGCACTTTTAGTCTCCTTGATGAATTTATTTTCTGCCAAGACATCTACTAAGTCCTACTCCCCTTCTGCCCTCACTTCTAATAAAATAACTGTGGTCTTCAGGTACAGACATGTTATTTTTTTAATCCAATCAGAAAAAAGAGCAGTTTCATGTTTGTAAAAGGAAAATAACATATCTTTATATCAGTTGAATCCCTTTGTTCTGGGATCAGGATGGATGAAGGGGTCAGAATACTGAGAGCAGTAGAATTCTGGGCTAGAACTTGAAGAGAAAGTGACTTTGTTTCCGTTTAAGATCCTGCCACAAGTGGTGAGAAGTTGATTAAAGAGACCACAACTATTGTTTCCCATGTTAAGTGACCTTCCTTTAGAAGTGTAGATGACTTTGATAGGCCAGAGCAGAAACATAAAGGCCAGTTTCCCCAGGAGTCACACAAAGACAAATACTGAAGCTTTCTGTGCTATGTTCCTCTCCCAGCCATGCCCCCCATCCAACCTGCTTCCTCAAATTCATTTTCTCTGCACAGATGAGGAGCTGGAGAAGGGATGATCAGGCAAAGCATCCCTTTCTGGTCGACAGGGGAGAGAAAGAGGAAGGACAGACATCCAGAGGAACCTGAATGGGAAGAGAGTTGCCCTTCAACTTCATTTCTGTTCCTCTCTCTCCCACCCCACTTACCAGGGACATCCCCGGTCATCAACACTTTGTGGTTTAGAGTCTAGAAAACTGTTCATTTTTATAACAAGCAGCTCTTGAAAAATTAAGCCCTGCACAGCAGCTGGGACCAGCTAATTCTGGACTCCTAGAGGGGTCACCCCCAGCTCTCTTTTGTGATCCTACCTCTAGGCAAGACAGATCTTCTAAGGAGGTAAAGCAGCAGCACAAAGAAACCAAGACCAAGCTATTTTCCCCCTCCAGCACCTCCCCTGGCACAAACACCCCATCAGCAGCCAAGGTGTCTCCATGTGCTTTGGGGATCTCCCATGGAAGGGGTTCCCAGCCCTTCCTCAGGTACCTTTGCCTGCAAGGCTGTGTCCCTGCTCCTCCTCTGCCATCCCTTCCCATACTCAGCTGACTCCTGGCACGTGATCACCCCTATACCAGGGTTATTCCTGCTGCTTCCTCAACACCCTCCAGCCTCCCCTCTCCATCCCTGCCCACACTGGCCCACGATGGGGGTGAGCTGTGATGGCAAAACTCCTCGGCCCAACTGGGCTTTGTCCCCCAGTGAGCTGCAGGTGCTGTGACACAGCTTGCTTACAGGTATCTAAAATTGTTAGTACAGTTATCCTGAAAACAATTCTCTTCCAGACAAACAAGAGCAGGAACAACGGAGACTGAAGAAGCACTACAGTTGGAGCAAGACTATTTTTCTGAGACACTCAAGTGTCCAAACTTGTGCACTCATGGCTATTAAAACCCTTCCCCTTGCTTTGCCCTCCCCCTTGACATTTTCCCTTTGCAGTTCCTCTGGACAGAGCTGCAAAATCTCAGTTTTTATTCCTTCCTTCATCTCAAGAAGCACCGTGCTGCCCCTGCTCCTCACACGTGGTGTCCTCTCACCTTGAGGTTTCAGCTTTGGCATTGGCACCCCAACAATCTGCACCTCACATGTTCCCTTTTTGTTACTCCTCCCTCCCCTCTCCCAAGGCAGCAGCAGGTTCCCTCCCTGAGCTGAAGGGCTGTGACTTCAGGGGGAAGTTCTGACAGACCTGATGGGGAAGATCTTCTTCACCTTCCCCAGGCCCTGACCACATCACACGTGTGTGTAAAACCCCCAGCAGTACAGGCCTTGATTGCCTTTTTTTTGTTTTGTTTTCTGGAAGGAAATCAAGTTTTACAGCACGTGGTATTTATTTGCAGAAAGGACAGGTTACTCGGGGTTACTCACCAGTATGTAAGTAGCACAAACATTTAACATTTTCACAATAAAATTAGTATTCACCGTGAGGCAACCACACAGTGAAAGCTGCCTTGATCTCAACTGTAGGGATCAGATTCAGGATCCTCACAATTTCCCATATTTCTCCCAGAGAAATATTTCTCCCATAGAAATATTTCTCCCATATTTCTCCAGGAAGGCTCTTTTTTTTGGCATGGAAAACTTATCTTTTCAATGGCCACACAGACAGTTTGTGTGTTTGGCTTAAAACTTCACCATAAGATAATTTTTCCAGCCAGAAACTTGTGCCTTTTGATAGTCATTAACACTGAGTTGTTCAGAAGAAGAATTACATGATCTTCTTTGTTTACCAGAGCCAATGCCTTAAATTCTTTGAGGGGGGTTTCTCCAGCTTCTTCACCAACCCCTCTTCACCCAGTTTACCAAGTGACACAGACCAAATGAAGGAGAGAAGACAAATGCAACACCTAACCCAGGCACAGGTAGGTGTGGATTTTTAGGAGCTGGCATCAAAGTGAATTTGCCTGCAAATGCAATGAGACAACCTCAAGTCAGTTTTCCAACCTGATGGTAAACACCATGGTGAAGGCAGGGTGAGTGATGGAATGAGTGCAGGAGAGAGAGATTCCAGCTCAGCCACAGGAACAAGGCAGAAACTGATAAAACATGTGAATTTATCCACTCCTTTGAGAACGACACATACAAATTCAAGTATGCGGGGGAAAAAAGGGGAGAGGGAGTAAAACAAACAAGCAGGGAGTACAAGGAGACAGGACAGGAAGAATTTTCAATCCACCTATCAAGTTGAGTGAGTATCAAACAGTGCAAGGACAGGAAACAGTCCTCACACTTCAGAAGAGGGGAAATAAATAAACACCAGAAGCAGACCTGCTGGTTTGGCATCACTGACATGCAAGTCTTGTCAAACCATCTGAGGGACAGCACAGCTGAAGACACTGAGGCCAACAGGAGACAAGGAACCCCAGGAGAGGTTTGCCAGTTCGTGCTACAGTAGCTTGGAGAGTAATTCAGTTGCAGAGACAGAATGTACCTGTGTGGGTGTGCTGAGGAATCCCTGCTCCCTGTGCCAAGCCGGCAGATGTGGCACAAGCCTTCAGGAGGCCCACACACATCTGCAGTAGCAACCAAAGACAAGACAGGTCACCTGACAGTGCCAAAACCAGTGTCATCTCCAGGGAAGCAAACAAACCCCCAGCTTGATGTGCTCCTTGGACAAGACACCCACTCCTGAAGCACCTTGGATCACTGTGTTGTTTTGTCTGTCATTCCCACATTAAGGGGAATGGGGACGTGCTTTTGAATAGGGAGAGGACAGCGAGCAAGGAGGTGAAAGCTGGAAAGAAGTTACAAAGGAGCCTGTCAGGCATCAAACCTATTGCACAGTTAACATCCAAAATCCCTCAGGAGAAACCTGAAAGAAAATGTGATGCTCAGGAAAGCAAGCTGGGAAACAGCAACACAAAGGAAGACTAGGACATCACACAGGAAAGCTGAAAAACCTTGAAACGTAGGAGAGAAATGCAATACAAAATATGTAGTGTGTGTGTTTGTGTAAGAATTATCAACTACTACTCACACAGAGAACATCTTATCACTGGGAGAACACCACAGGGAGAGAGACCTGGCTGCAACAAATCAGTCACAGTGTGAAGCAGCCACAGGAGGCAGATTGGAGCCTAAAACCCCTCAAGGAAGTACTTTCAGGGACTAAAAGAAGCTATCTCCTTGCACAGTGAGACCTCACCTGAAGGGCTGTGTGTCACTTCAGCCACCAAGTTCAAGAACATGGATTTAATTGGAGCTGCTGCTGAGAATGGAGAGACTTACGAGCCAGGACAACGTTGTGAAAGCAGACTTAAGGAGTAACTTATGTAGCCAAGCTAGACAAAAGCTGGAAGGAAATACAATTCCTTCATAATACATTTACTGACAGCAAGAACCATGGAAGAAGAGTAAACACAGTAAGGATAAAGGGTTATACTAGCACAGAAATCGAAAAAAAAAGAAAAAAAAATAATAAAAGCTGCATGGGCCATAATTCCACCTAGGTTTGTAAAAAACCCCCAGTCATTGAAGCAGCAAAGCTCTGGGACAGCTTTTCAAGCAAAACTGGAGGTAAAAGACAATATAGCAACTTATTATCACTCATTAAAGGAATGGCACTCTGAAGAAATTTTATCCCTTTCCAGTTAAGCATGAAGCAGAAAAAGAAAGAAGAATTCTGTGGTTGCCTGCTCCATCCAAACCCTCTGTGCCAAGTCCCCAGCAAGAGAATCTTCCTTTTTGTTGCCTTTTTTGTTGCTGTCACTGTTGTGAAGCTCAAATCCTCTGGAAACAGACTGCACTAATGGAAAGGCTGGCAGAAATAGCTAAGAATATTCCTAATGTTTACTTTATTAAAACAAAACAACCAATACCACACAATGAAAACAGGCCACTTCATTCTATATATTTAGGCTCCGGCCCAAAACTGGGAGTGAAGGCGACACATAAACAGAGGCTTTATCAAGGAGCAGTGTGGTGTAACCTTCAGCCACAGAGCAGCTCTGTTCCCATCACAACAGCTTTGGCCAAGCTGAGAAGCAGCAGCATTCCAACCTTGTCTGCAGCATTTCACTGTGGAGCAAACACAGTTTCACCACTTCCAGCTTCTTCAAGGCCAGGACAGCGGGTACATACCTAAGGACTGCAGGTGCCAGCCCATGTCCTGGTCATAAACAGGGCTGACAGCAGTAATATAATAATTACAGTCTGCCTGGCTGTTTTTTTGGAGCAAGACTTCCCAGGCTCATCACCTGGCTGTGCTCCACGGCCCAGCATACAAGAGGACAGAGGACCACCCACCTGATAGAGGCCTCTATCAGCACACAGCTGCATGAAAGCATTGCACATCCCATGTTTACTGCTGTTTTGATCCCTCACCCTCAATCCTCTGCTTCCTTTGATGGCCACAACCCTTCTGATGCAAGGTCTAAGTCATACTTGAAACGACGTGCAATAAATCAAACCCTGGCTGCTGAGCCAAGGCACCCACACGCTCCTTCCATACAGATCACAAGTAAAGCAGCACGCTGAACAGGTTGCAGGAAAAGAGTCTTGTGTGAGGTGATGCCTCAGGCAAGTACAGAGCTCTGTGGGATGCTACAACACTGACAAACACACAGCACGTGGTCACAAACTGCATCCAGAGCCAGTCGCACCGGTAGAGACTCACAAACATGTACCAGAAGCTTGAGTTTGGACAAACTGCAAAGAGAGATTTCAATTTCATATGAAAATACTGAGAGTTTGAAGAGCAAGGGGGGGGGGCGAAAGAAAACACCACAAAAAACCCCTTTGGACCCTGGTATTACCTGAGGAATATGTAAGAGACAATTATCATGTAAGAGAACTCCTGAGGTGTTTAGAGAAAGGCATGCAACTAAAGAAGAAGGGAAAGTAGGTACCAGAGTGCCACTCTAAGGTTATTACACACTGAAATTCAAATAAATACTCAGGTTGTAACCTTAACTGAAGGAGTAAGAATAATTTAGAGAAATTCTTCCAGAAGCTGTGCACAAGGCTATAGAAATGGGTTTTTTGGAACAGTTCAGAACAACCCAGAGGATGAAAGCAAACCTGGTTTAGTCGAATAAATTTTTAAATGTGCTTATATTTAAGCTGCTTTGAAACCACATTAGATTGCTGTCTGCAGTGGAACAGCTCGATTAACATGCTCAAATGGTTCAACCAAAGGTCAGAGAGAAGGACCAGAGACTGCACAAGGGAGGGTGGAGGACTCCTAAGCCACAGGTACAGGAGAGAAGTTCCCTGCATTCAGGCTGCCAGGGAGTCAGCACCTACTGCTTCCAGCTGCCCAAATTTCACCACAGCAGGGGAAGGTGCCCACAGGGCACTGTGGGCACTAACTTACCTCCCTGCTACGGCAGCCAGAACCTACAGGTAAACAACACCCAGGTTAGCTGGGGACTGCAGCACAACCTTCCCTGGGTACGACAAGACTTCAGGGGAACCCGGGACTGCAGCACTGTGCCTTGGTTCTGGCACACAGGCACCAGTTTTAGCCTGGAGATGGTGATGCTCTCACTGCCCAAGGGCAGCCAGCAGACCCAGACCTCCTCCTGGCCATCTCCCATGAAAGCACATTTCATAGAATCACAAAATCAGCTGGGTTGGAAGGGACCTCCGAGATCATCAAGTCCAACCCTTGCAGCCCTGCCCAATTTTCAGCAATGTTTTAGAAACACTGCACTGCAAGACAACAGTTTTTTGTGCTGTTACTTGCCAGCTTTTATTTGCAGCAGATCTCCCTCGGGTGCTGGCTTCACACATTACACAGCACATCCCTTTCAGACCCAGCAGCCCCCTGTCCTTACAATTCCCCATCCTGGTGTCTTCCAGTGGCACAGAGTTAACACTTGTGCCACCTCTACAGCCTCACTAAATCCAGTCTCTCCAGCCCCATTTCTGGGAGGGAAAAAAAACCAAAACCCTACCAAATAAAAAGAGAGAAAACAAGTGCACAAACAACTTTACAAGTTCACAATCCCCCAGCTGCCACCAGTCAGGGTGTGCCTCTAAGTTGTGTATCAGGCAGATAAGCATGCATAGTTTTCAGAGGAATCATAGTAGAGCTGCTTAACATCTAAATCAGACAAGCAAAGCAAAATAACAGAGCAAAACTAAAAGAAAAGCTGCAGGCTAATTTGATGCAGGTGCCTAAAGCTGAGCACAAGCTTGGATGTAAGTAGCACTTACAGTCACTAGGACAAAAATACAGAATAATAATAAGCATACACAGATCTTTTTTCCCTTTTAATGCACTTTTGCCCTGTTCTAAGAGCCACATTCTGCCTTATTTTAATTTCACAGACACTAAAACACCTCCCAGTATGTGCAGTGGGAGAGGAAGAAAGAAATCACTTGCTCCTCACAGGATTCAGCACAGTCAAGACTTCACCCCCAGGGCTTTGCACCTCTTCCAATGATCCTTACTCAGCTCCCACTTATGAAGCAAACCTGTCATCAGCCACACAAACAGCAAGAGGCAGACAAGGATGTTTTCCTGTCCCAGAGGAGAAATGTCCCTTTCTTTCTTTGTGGAGTCCCCGCCCCACACTTCAGCAATAGGATGGGGAACCATCCTAAGGACTGTGGAGGTGGGGGAGAGGGTTCTGCTCTGTGAGCTCACTGAGGGCGTACCCATAAACTTGGCATAACCCTGGTTATTGTTCATTTGGTAGAAGCCCTGGAGCACCTTCTGCTCGTGACTTGCAAAAGAAGTGAATCAATGCAGAGGTTTATTAGAGAGGCAGCCTCTTACCAGCCTCTGCAAACGCAGGGCAAGGGTACAGGAGCATTGACAAATAAAGCTCCCACCTACGCTAATAAAAGGTAACATTTCCTGCCCCAAAGTACACCGGAACACAACAAATCCAAAGTTTACCTTCTCTTCAGCTGACTTTACAACACTAATAACTTCTTTAACTGCCAGCTCAAGTGGTTCTGGTGGGTCATCTTCCTCAAACGTGAGCAACTGAGAATCCTGAGAAAGAAGAAAAAAAAGAACCATCATTAGGTGACAAAGCCACTGCTTGAAAACAAGTGATAAAAAATGCACCGCCAGTCAAGTTCCTGGAATGGCAAATGTATGTCAAAACTTCTACGTATTAATTGCACGACACCTCACTACATAATATAGGGTAGAGCCTGAAAACATATACTTAGGACATAACCATGGGCCTAATCATAACTCATCTTTCTCTGCAGTAGAATACCAAGGTGCACAACAGCACAGTGCAGAGCAAAGCAACTGAGTTCAGTGAAACTGCCCCTCTTGAGTAAGGATTTATCAGTGCTGCAGTTGGAAAAGGCCTGTTTGCTTTGGCCTAATAATACGGCTGCACTAGGCTGTGCCAAAATTAAGAAACCCCAAATATCGTCTTGCAGAGGTGAGGAAAGAAAGCTTCCCCTCCCCAGTCCTCCCTGTCTGTGACGGGAGGCAGTGCCGACAGCCACCCAGCCTCCACACAGGCAGCGAGGGGAAGGCAGCGTTTTGGCAGTGAGGTCATGCTTTCAGAAGCATCAGCGCTGCATTCCCCACCTGCTCCCCGCACCGGGCCGTCAGCCCCGCTCCCCTCGTCACCCGGCCTTGTTCTGCACGCAGGAATTTCATTAGCTGCGTGCCGCTGACATCGTTTTGGGAGCCTGACAGCGGGAGCACGGCCACGCTGCAGTGCCAGGCGGGGAACTCGGCGCTCCAGCTGCTCGCCCGGGCAGGGAGGGTGTTCGTGTCCCTGTCAGAGCGGCTCCGGTCTCTGCGCAGGGACGGGAAGCTGCCACTTGTGCCCGGTTCACTTTCAGTTCCCAGCACCTGTGCCCGAGCTGTCTGGGCTCTTCTCTTCCACCAGTGCAGGGCAAACCTTCATTTCTCAGCACAGCCCGTGCTTTTCTCCTCGTGCAATTTGAAAGGGCGGACGAAGTATTTTCCTCCCACTGCCCTTACTCACAGCGGTATTTGGAAAGTGTTAAATTTATATTCCTTATCTTTCATACACACATGTTGCCCCACTCTTCCTTCTTCCCCAGCCTGCTCCCTGGCATGCAAGAAGAACGGAACCTCCTAGGTCTAAGAAGTCTCCCCCAGGGAGAGGGATGCAAGGAAATTTGGAGACCTGGGGACATGCTGCTTCCTAGACAGTTTAGCCTCAGCATTTTTCACTGACATGACAAGGGCTCAGTCCTCAGGACAAGGAAATCAGGTTGCCACAGCCTCGCCTAAGCTCCTCACCTCTTAGACCCGGGCATACCATTACACACCAACGAGCAGGATCCCACACTGTGCCATTTGCGGGAAGGGCAGGTTGGGATGGGAAGGATTGCCATCCTCCCTGACCCAGGTTAAAAGCAAACTGACCAAACCCTGAGCATCCCACCACCCAGCGGGTCTGAGGGACGCCAGCCTTTGGAGTTACAATACACACACACACGGGTTCAGCACGGCCTCAGGCAACACGGGGGAAGCCCAGCTCTGGGAATTATTTGCCGAAGGACGGGCCGCAGGCCCAGGCCAGGAAGTTTCCATTGTTTCCTCCTCCCCACGCCCGAACAATGTTATCGGCGGTGCGAGCCCCTGCCAGGGGCTGCGGGGGTCGCGGCTTCCCTTTCTCCCCATCCTTCCCAGCTCCCACGCGTGCGCCCATCCCATGCCTGTGCCCGGCTCCTTCCTGCAAACCCCTGCCGAGCAGCCACCAAACGCACACGTGTAAATACACAAACACACGGAGGGGCAGAAACACGCCGCCAGCACCCTGGTTTCTCCCTGGAGCAAATCGCAGCGTCCCTAGGAGCGGGGACAGCCCGGAGCCGCGTCCCCCCATCCCGGCGAGCGCGGGGCGCCGCCCGGAGCATCCCGACCGGGCATCCCCCCCTCTCCCATCCCTCCCTCACCTGCATCCCCGGCACTCACCGCCCGCTCCGCCGCCTCGGCCCGCAGCGCGGCCACCCAGGCCCGCCGCCACTGCCGCCTCCAGCTGCCCCGCGACAGCGCCCAGGCCAGCACCGAGCCGCCCTCGTCCAGCAGCTCGTCCCGCGGGCCGGGAGCGGCGGGAGCCGGGAGAGGCGGCGGCGGGCGGCGGCGGCGCCGCAGCGCCAGCAGCGCGTACTGCACCAGGTACACGGCCAGCGTGGCCAGCGCCGCCACGAACAGGGCGACCAGCGCGCCCCAGCGCAGCTCGGCCAGCCCGCCCGGCAGCCACGCCATGGCTGAGCATAATGGGGGCCGCGGCTCCGGAGCCCTCTCCGAGGAGCGCTCGGCGGCGGCCGCAGCCCCGCGCTGGGCTCGACCCGCGGGCGGAGCAGGGACCGGCGGATCGGATGCCCCGGGACGCGCCGCCTGCCCCGCCCGCCCACGGCGCAGTCCCCGCCCCGGGGCGGTGCGGGGGGAGCGCGGACACGGCCACCGGCACGGACACGGCCCCGGGGATGGCCCCGGGCGGCGCGGGCGGTGCCTGCGGGGAGGGGACGGGGAGTGATGGGGTTGCGGTGATGGGTGTCTGGTGCCGCCGCGGGTAGAGGGGGGTAGAGGGGCTCGTGGTGGGCGCCCGGTGCCCCCGGGGGTAAAAGGGTTTTGGGGTGGGCTCCTGGTATCCAGGGTGTAAGAGGGGTTCGTGGTGGATGCCTGGTTCCCGGAGATACAAGGGGGTAGAGGGGTTCGTGGTGGGCGCCTGGTATCCCGGGTGTAAGAGGGGTTCGTGGTGGATGCCTGGTTCCCGGAGATACAAGGGGGTAGAGGGGTTCGTGGTGGGCGCCTGGTATCCCGGTTGAAGAGGGGCTCGGGGTGGATGCCTGGTTCCCGGAGATACAAGGGGGTAGAGGGGTTCGTGGTGGGCGCCTGGTATCCCGGGTGTAAGAGGGGTTCGTGGTGGATGCCTGGTTCCCGGAGATACAAGGGGGTAGAGGGGTTCGTGGTGGGCGCCTGGTATCCCGGTTGAAGAGGGGCTCGGGGTGGATACCGGGTGGCCGGAGGTAGAGGGGGGTAGAGGGGCTTGGAGTGGGTGCCCAGTGGCCCCCGGGCTAAGAGAGTCTTGGGGTGGGCTCCTGATGCCCCGGGGGTAGAGGGACTCGGGGTGGGCGCCTGGTGATGCGGGGATAAGAGGGGTTCCGGGTGGATGCCTGGTGCCCGGAGGTAGAGGGGGGTAGAGAGGCTCCGTGGTGGGTGCTGGGTACCCGAGGTGTAAGAGGGGTTCGAGGTGGATCTCTGGTGCCCTGGGTATAAGAGGGGTTCGGAATGGATGCCTTGTTCCCTTGGAATGGATGCCTGGGGGATAGAGGGGCTCTGGGTGGGCAGGGGGCAGGGGCACGTGTTCTCTGAGCTGGTGCTTCTCACCAAACCCCAGGGCAGAACGGGACAAAAAGAGTGCTCCCGAGGATGGGCTAAAAGGGGGAGTTTCAGTAGGGAGAGTGAAGACACAGGCGTCAAATATAATAATTTTTGTTGTTTTTCTTGCAGCAAAAGGTTTCCCCTTCCCTACTGAGTGATGCTGTTTGCACGCTAAGCAACAACTGCAAATGAAAAGCCATGTGGAGAACCCTGCGTGTCTTTGCACACATAAATAACCCTTTTAATGTCACTTGAGGGCACGGTGGGTTGGCTACAGATGGGCCTGGCTTCCTCCCCCAAAAAGGAAGATCATATAATCTTTGTGTTCAGGAGGCTGAGGTTTACTCAGCTGGTTTGTGGCAAAATTATGAATCCCAGTGGATGAAATTGCCACGCCTCCCCTCAGTACCAAGCAAGCATTCCGGGAAGGCACCCCTTTACACGTCAGGATAACACTTGGGAGTTTGGGATCGGCCTTCACAGGCTGAGGGAACAGCCAAGGAGATTACGAGACATTTATTTTTCCCCTCTGCTTCCTATGGAAGGCCGAACATGAGCTTCCCTTTTCCTCCCAGTGCCTCCTGATCTCCTCTGCTCAGGATGTCAAACTCACTGGAAGGAGGAAAAACCCAATTCCATGTTTCATTGTGATCTGCAGCCTGGAACATCAATTCAGGACTAAGCACTTTCTGCAGACTGTGCTGAATGACTGTTGTTATCAGTAGGAGGTTTGCGATAAAGGGGAGGAAATTGTGTTTTGATAGTAAATAAAAGTTCCAGAATTATTTATTTTTGCCACGTTCATTTTCAGTAAGTTCCTGTTTGGTTTTCAGAGTGCTGCCTTATCAGCTTATCGCTGTTTGTGTCCTCATTTTTTTACTGCCTTTTTTTGCCTGCTCTGTCTGTGTTTATCCCTGGCAGCTCCCATCCAAAAAACCTAACCTGAATTTTTTTCCAAATCCATGTGGTAAAACAACCCATCTTTGAGGCTGTAGTGAAGTGTCATTGTAAATTCTTGCTCTGCTTGGGCTTTGGCCTTTTTAAGGGCAGAAGGATATTTTTGTTGCTGGAAACTGGAATTCCAGCCCCCTGGAGTGTGTGCCATGGATCACAGAGGGGAATTACCAATCCCACAGTGCTGGCTCTGGTGTGGGAGCTGTGCAGGTGCAGGTGATGAGGTGCAGAAGCCACGTGGGCTCACAGACCAGACAGCAAATGCTTGTTTGCTGGACATTTTCAAGCACATTCATGGCTAGAAGCAAAGGTAAGAAGAAAAGGGAGGGGAGTACATGGCAGAATCATGGAATGGTTGTGGATGGAAGGGACCTCTGGAGGTCAGATGGTCCAGTCCCCCATTCCAGTCAGGGCCACTCAGAGCCCATTGCCCAGGACCGTGGCCAGATTGATGGCTCTTGAATATCTCCCTGGACTCTACAACTTCTCTGAACAACCTGTTCTAGTGCTTGGTCACCCTCACAGTGAAAAAGTTTCTCCTTATGTCCAGAGGGAACCTCCTATGTTTCAGTTCGTGCCCCTTGTGTCTTGTTCTGTCACTTGGGCACCACTGAAAATAGCTTGACTCTGTCCTCTTTTCACCATCCCTCCAGACATTTATATACACTGATAAAATCCCCTCCATGAGACCTCTCTTTCCCCCCCCCTTCCCTCAGCCTTTCCTCATATGAGAGATGCTCCAGCCCATTAATCATCTTAGTGGCCTTTCACTGGACTTTCTTCAGTGGAGACACAGTATTTCGGGTGTGGTCTCACCTCTCACCCCTGTTGAGTAGAGGGTAAGGATTTACTCCCCTCAGCCTGCTGGCAGCACTCCTCCTAATACAGTTGAGGACACCATTGACCTTCTTTGCTGGAAGAACATTCGTTGGCTCATATTAAATTCGCAGTTGACCAGGACCCACAGGTCCTTTCCACAAAGCTGCTTCCCAGTCAGCTGGCCCCCAGCATGTGCTGGTGGCTGGAGTTGTTCCTCCCTGGGTGCAGGACTTCATGGGTCCCCTTGCTGAACTTTGCAAGGTACTGTCAGCCCATTTCTCCAGCCTGTCCACGTCCCTCTGGATGGCACAACAACTCCCTGCTGTGTCAGCCATGCCTCCCAGTTTTGTGTCACCAGGAAATTTGCCAAAGGTACACTCTGCCCCACCATCCAGACCATTAACAAAGCTGTTGAACTGGACTGAACCCAGTACTGGCCCCTGGGGTCACCACTAGTTACAGGCCTCTATCAGTTTTTGTGCCATTGATCATCACCCTCTGGGTCCAGCTGCTCAGCCAGTTTTCAATCCACCTCACTGTCTGCTCACCCAGCCCATATTTCATCAGCTCCTCCATGAGGATCTGATGGCAGACAGTGTCAAAAGTCTCAGCAGACAACGTCCACTGCTCTCCCCTTGTCGACCAAACCAGTAATTTCATTGTATGAGTTTATATTGCCTTTGGTGAAACCCTCCTGGTTGTGACTGATCACCTTGTTCCTCAAAGTGTCCAGGCTTAGCTGCTCCATCACCTTCTCAGGGATCAAGGCAAGGCTGACTCCTGGCATCCTCTATTCTTCCTTTCTTGGAGTTAGGAGTGGTGTTTGCTTTCCTCCAGTCCTTGGGCACTTCTCCCAGTCACCATGATCACTTAAAGATGATGGAGAGTGGCCTTGTGATGAGATCTTCTATCTCCCTCAGCACTTGTGGGTGCATCCCATCAGGGCCAGTGGACTTACATATATCCCATTTGCTTAAGTATTCCCTGACCTGGTTCTCCTTCACCAAGGGTACATCTTTGCTCCATACTCTCACCTTGGTCTCTGGAGCCTGGGAATCCTGAAGGACCATAACACCAACATTTAATACAGTATTTTAGAATAAGAGGGCTCGGCCTCTGGGAGGAGGATCAAGTTGCTGCTTGAGAAGCAATTTGATAATTTTGTGTTATAAATACATTGTCCACATTTGCACCTATAAGATTAACAGGGCCAGAACATGGTTTTATCTGTTGCAGTTGGTTTACTCTAAGGATATAAGAAGAACGGGCTACTTAGGGGTCAAAGTATTTGCTTGGGGCACAGGGAAAGCCCACACTCAACTCACTGACCAGACACCAGGCAGGTAATTTAGAGTGGACCTGCATGATACCAGGGAGCAAACTGGAACAACCAGAGGCATATTGCCATTTTAGCACAGCTCTGTACGTAGATTAACGGACCCTGCTGAGAGACCAGACTGATTAACTGGGCTAATTTTAAGATCCAGACCAGCATCTTTGCTGTACCAGCTTTTCTCCTTAGTGTTTTCTGGTACAGCACTGCATCGTGGCAGACAAATCTGCCCTTAGCTTGTCCCGTGTTTCAGTTCCCCACATTTGTCACACAGACAGTTTTCTCTAACTGGCAGGAGTTTTGTGAGTCTAATTAGTGAACGTGAAATGGCAAGAAAGACTAAAAGATAACACTGAGATGTTAGGAACAGTTTTCCTTCACGGAACTTTATCAGCTATCTTGTCACTAGAAATACTTAACATTTTTACTTTTGAAGGATACCAAAAACATGTAGTGGCTAATATTTAGTTATTTTCCTTTTTCATGCACCTTGTGAACTTGGAATAGCCCTCTCTGAACATTCAGGATCTCACCCGTCAAAGCCTAGCTCTGGGGATGTGATTAGTAAAATTAGTTTTTCATAATTCTGTGTACTCTGAAGCTGGGAGCTGGGAGTCTGACTTGCTCCTAGGCTCTGCTAGGTGCTATATTTTTATTAAACAACTTCTGTGTTTCCCAAATCCCAGATTTCCTTTTAATTAGCAAGTAATATATATATATGTATAGATATATAGATATATAGATATATAGATATCTGTCAGAAATGTAAAATGAGAGAGACTGATTATTCATTGTGGTTGCCTCACATGTCCTGTTTTGGTCCTTTGAAG